ATCCATCGTATTACGGATATAATAGAAAATGCGTTAGAGGAAAAGAAAATATGTACAGCAACTTTTCTGGACATGACACAAGCATTCGACAGAGTATTGCACACAGGCTTGATCAACAAAATTAAAAAAATTTTACCATTATCGTACGTCGATTTCATATCATCGTATCTAAGGCATAGATTATTTAGGGTAAAAATTGAAGATCAATATTCTGAATTAATGGAAATAATGGCAGGTGTACCGCAGGGAAGTATCCTGGGACCGTTCTTGTACCTACTTTACACTCATGATTTACCAACTTTCGATAAAGTAACAGTGGCTACATTTGCAGATGACACTGCGTTATTAACAGTAGACGAAAATGTAAATACATCAACACAAAATTTACAATATGCAAACAACAAAATCTTAGAATGGACAGATAAATGGAAAATGAAAATAAATGAACAAAAGTCAATACACATAAATTTTACAAACAAACAAAATTGCCAGAACTTACCAATATATGTATTTAAACGGTAAAATCACACCTAATAAAGGAAAAGTCAAGTACCTGGGTATGATACTGGACAAAAAGCTATTATGGAGAAAACACATTAACAGTAAATTAACAGAATTAAAAATTAAATATGCAAAGTTACAATGGCTGATTGGTTATTACTCCAAACCCAGTATAGGTAATAAACTTTTAATTTATAACCAGATATTAAAACCAATATGGCTTTATGGAATACAACTTTGGGGTTGCGCTAGCAAATGTCATATAGATATAATCCGGAGATTTCAAAATAAAGTATGTACTTAGAAACATCGTTAAAGCACCATGGTACGTTAGAAATGCTGATTTATATCGAGACCTCAAAATAAAAACAGTCAATTGTGAAAGACAATTGAAAAGCAATTGTGTGATTCAGCAAGTATTATTTAATTAGGCTAGGATTACAGAAACAAGCTGATGGTTAGTCATTTTGACCAGTTTTAGCGCTACATATAGATAATAAATATAAACAAAAAAAAAAAAACAAAAAAGGGTGTTTTAATGCCGTCAATAATTTCGCTTCATTACAAGCAGTCCCAATTTATACGCATACTAAGTATCCTATATTAACATTTCGTTGCGAAAAATCGCTCTCGTTTTGTTTTCAACTTAATTAACCTGTCTGCGGCTGCAACTTTACTAAACTCATAGATCTAATAATACAAACAGCGTTCTCATATTGTTATTTAATGTTTCATATTTTTCAAACGTCTGGCGGATGACCAGATTTCATTAATTATAATCATTGAAGCTTGATAATAATTATATTATTGTTAAATCCAATAGACCGCGACTTCTTTAGTAATTAAGCTTCATTTTAGATGTACTAATTATTTTTAAAATAAAATTCCTTTTTTAAAAAAAATTAACCCACAAAATAATTTGTTTTTTCTATTTAGAGCATCAACAATGTATTTGTTAAAATTTTATTTCAAAAAGTACATTGTACACTTGTGTGTATTTTTAAAATTATGCTTTTAAAAATAATTTGATTCGAGTTTGTTTTTTAAAAATAAACTTAATTAACATCGTAACACTGAATTAATGTCTTTATATCTAACAAGTCCCAATGCTCAGAGAGAAACTTGAAAGCACGACCTTATTTTATATGGGGTTTTTTAAATCGAAGTGGCTATTTTTTGAGAAGAAATATTAAAATAAATTCACACTTATTATAAAGCAGGTAAAATTTAGAAAATATATTTGAAAAATCAAAAAAATATAAAAATATAGAAAAACAACAAGCACATCCTTCGCCTTTAACGTTTTATATGTTACTGAAAGCATTTCATTGTTATTAAGTGAACAGCTTTTTTTTCTAATAGGGTAAGCTAACCCAAGATATGGGAAGTAACTGTAGTGTCAAGTTGAAAATATAATTAATGAAAGATAATTATTAAATATTGATATGAATACATAGTACAGAAAAAATTTGAAGAGGGAATTGGAAAATAATATCTAAAATACAATCAAATATTATTTGTCAAATGCAAATTTTATATCAACTTCAAAATTTTACCTCTATTTTTATTTGAAAAAATATTAAAAACTTACTATCATTTATATCAATTACCTAACCCAGCATTTACACGTACAAGTTACTTGCAAGAAAGTTGCAATACATACAAAAATTTTACTAACACATTGAAATATTTCTACTTGCTTGTTTACTTGCAGTTCAACTTGCAAGAAAATTTTGCTGCCAGTAATTTGAGCAAGTAATTTGACATATTGAGAAATTCACAAAAAAAATTTGTTGTTTTGATTTTTTTTTTTTTTTAATTTAAAATTTTTGAATTTTGTTTTGAAAAAATTAAACTTAGCAAACTTATGGTTTCTAAAATTTATAAACAATTATATATATTGCTAGTTGTTTTCTTCTCAAAGACATTTTCAAAAATTAACTTGCTAAACGCCTACGTCATAATAGCAAGTAATTTGACATTTCGAAAAACTAATTGATAATTAATATTATACAAACTTGCATGCAAGTAACTTGTATGTGTAAATGCTGGGTAAGAAAAAAAAAATATTTAAAACGTTTGGAAAAAACAATCATATATTTTTATGACCGGATTTGAATATTTTTTTATTTTTGAAATAAATGATATTTTACCAAATGACTCAAAAATTCCGACTGTAAAATAGCAGGTATTTTAAAATTTTTGTTCTTTATGTAATATTCTTTACATATTCATTCTAATACACATGCAGGGACATTTTATAAATAGATTGCTCTCGTTTACCTGCTAATAAAATATGAAAAAAGAGCACAGCAAAATTTTTGAAGCACTCAATATAACATGTTTGAAATAGTTTTAAAATAATTATTTAAAAAAAAATTTATTGGAAGTAGGTACATACATATTTATTTTTAATAACTTAAAAACTAACTGAAATTATTTGAAACAATTTTATAAGTAACGTATAAATAACCGAAATGAGATAATTCAAATTGTTGAAATGTGTCAACCTATATTACTTTTAATAACATTTTTGTTAGCCGACACTACTCAACTTGCGTTATTGGGAAATACAAAATGTGCATAAAGAATCATACATCCTTCCTCATTAACATTTCAAACCATACTGAAATATGAATTTGAAATTTTTTTTCATTTTTTCTTTCCTCCTACCTTTCTTTCTTTTTCGTGCAATAGAATTTAAATGGGAAGCTTTTTAAAAAATGTGTATAATATCCTGAGATTTTTTAAAATATTAAACTCTTTTTTACTTTAAAAAGAAGAAAAAAATAATAAAAAATATGACACGATCAGTGGCATTTAAAGAAAAAACCAGCAACGAAGCCAAAAATTCGTAATATTTCGTATAAAAAATTGAGTATTGGGACTTGTTAGATATAAAGACATTAACTGAATACATGGCAAATATAATAATTTCTGAAGCCAGTGTAAAATATGTTGCTCTTTAGTTTTTATTCTTTACAGCATAAAAGTTTTTCGAATCATTTTCGATCTACAATCAGTTTTACTTTTACAAAAACGAAAATTTAAATCATAACAATTCGTTTGCATTAAAAAGAAGTACCTATTGTAGTGCTAAAAATTGCTAAAACATAAAGTTTGACGTCAATTTGACATAAATGTAAACTGTAATAGTTTTTAATAAGAAATATATGAGCATTAGCTATCCGTGTATTATTAGATCCATGACTTAAATTAAAACAAAAAATAAATGACGTGGAGACTTAAGAAGACAATGATCGTTTACACGCCAGCTTTTGAAATCAATTGTTGACATGTGCTTTACTTTCCGTTTCTCTCAACTTATTTTTCTGGAGGAGATTTTTTTTACACATTTTCGGCGGAAAATATTTTTGGCGAAACTGATTTTCTTTAAGATTAAGAACTAAAACAAATTGCTCTTCCTATATAAACAACATATGTAAACGTAATTTAACAAAATTCTCATTTAAAAAGAAATAAGCCAGACGGAAAACTTAAAAAAACTTTTAAAAACTTTATATGCGATAAACCTCAAATTTCTCAAATTTATTAAATATAAACAAACATTTTTTAGTTATACCAAAAACTAAAAATTTTGGATTATAAAAGTGTCAAAATTAGAAAAAACCATTTGTGAGCCCATTTTGGGTATTTTGTTATATTTTTAATTGAAAAGCTTTGAAAAAAAAATTATTGTTGATGAAATTTTTTTTACCAAAAATAAGACCTTCCGACATAGTCAAAAGTATTATCCAAGACATGCCTTATTATCCAAGCTTTCTTACACCAGACAGACTTATTTTTTTCTGATAAGTGATTTGATTCTATTAGAACTTGTTAGAACCTATTTAACTTTATGAGTTCTAATAATGTGAGTTACATGTAAATGTACCATAATCTAACGTTTAAGAACTGCACATAATCTATGTAATTTAACTGTGTAGTAGCAATTTGACCTAACAAAATACTAAAGATTCTTTTCATTCACTTACTCTCATATCCAAATTCTGCATCTTATTTATTGTACCTAATTTTTCAAGGAATGATAATTTTTATTGTTTCAACTATAGTGCAAACTACATTTTTATTATACATATATACATATATATATATGTACATCTTTTATCGAACTAACCAATCTGAAATTTATTTTGGTAATACATAATTAAATAAAATATAGGAGAAACATGGGAATATTAAAAAATTTTATTTATTACGTACATGTGAAATATTTCCATTTAATTTAAATAATAATCCATGTTCATAAAAAAGCAAAATAACTCTTTCCTTTTTTAGGTAATTAAAATTAAGTCAAGATTAGAAAAATTAATAAATTTTGCTTTACTATTCGCGTTTTTTTGTACTTATATCTTTCGTAAACTTAAGCTAACAACACAAGAAAAGTACTGTGAATGGTAAAGTTTTAATACTGTCAAATAGAAATCGACATTTCAAAATCAAAGTATGAGGTTGTCAAAATATGTATATTGATCGAAGTCTCCAAAATTACTCGGCAGTTTTTAATAATACACACATTTTTCAAGAAAAGAAATTCATTGAAACGTTCTTAAAACGATAAAAAAATATGGGTGGGTCCGCAGAAGTAGTTATTCAAGATGTTGAAATGGAAAATATCGAAAATATAAGTGAAGAAAATGAAGCAAAAAAGGATCAAGATGTATTAACTATTCAAGAAATACGAGAACAAACTCGTCAAATAGAAAAGGCAGTGACAAGTAAAGAACCTAGGTTTGTTAAAAAACAATTAAAAAAAAACAACTGTTAAAAAAACAATATTAAGAAAAACAAATTTTAAACGAGTTTTTTTCTAGATTTATATTGCGAGTTTTACGTGCTCTGCCCAATACAAGGCGTAAAATTAATCCGATTGTTTTGAAGCATTTGGCAGTGATTTTGTATCCTACAGGTCCAGAAAGGGATGCAATCTCAGTATTTATTCCACCTATTGCAGGTGAAGCTAAAGACCCAGAAGGGCTCAAAATACGTCCAGCAATTAAAAATGCCATCCCAGAAGTTGATGTATATTTTCATATGCTGATTTTAGTTCGTTTGTTGGATGACAATCAATTAGAAAAAGCGCAAAGTTGTTCTGAATCATTAATGCAGAAAATTGTCGCTCAAAATCGACGTACACTGGATTTAATAGCGGCAAGATCCTATTTTTATCGGTCCAGGGTTGCAGAGCTTACTAACAGTTTAGATAAAATTCGTGGATTTTTACATGCAAGACTTAGAACAGCTACACTCCGCAATGATTTTGAAGGACAAGCGGTTATCATAAATTGTCTATTAAGGAATTATTTACATTACTCACTATATGACCAAGCAGATAAGCTGGTAAAAAAATCTGTGTTTCCAGATACTGCAAGTAATAACGAGTGGGCAAGATTTTTATACTATTTAGGAAGAATCAAAGCGGCTAAATTAGAATACAGTGTAGCGCATAAACATTTAGTTCAAGCTCTCCGAAAAGCACCACAACATGCTGCTGTGGGATTCAGGCAAACTGTTCAAAAACTCATAATAGTTGTCGAACTTTTGTTGGGAAATATTCCAGAAAGGCAAGTGTTTAGGCAAGCAGCTTTAAGGAAATCTTTGTTGCCTTATTTTCAATTGACTCAAGCAGTTCGATTAGGGAACTTGCAGAAGTTTGGGCAGGTTGTTGAAAACTTCGGATTGAAATTTCAGCAAGATCACACTTATACTTTAATTATTCGCCTAAGGCATAATGTTATTAAAACAGCTATCAGATCAATTGGATTGTCTTATTCTCGTATATCGCCTCAAGAAATAGCGAAAAAATTAGGTCTTGACTCAGCAGAAGATGCCGAATTCGTCGTTGCAAAAGCAATCAGAGATGGTGTAATAGAAGCAACTCTAGATCCGGAACACGGATTTATGCGTAGTAAAGAAAGCACAGATATTTATAGCACTAGAGAACCGCAATTAGCATTTCATCAGCGCATATCATTTTGCTTAGATTTGCATAATCAAAGTGTTAAAGCAATGAGATATCCCCCAAAATCATATGGAAAAGATTTGGAGAGCGCTGAAGAGAGACGCGAACGTGAACAACAGGATTTAGAATTGGCAAAAGAAATGGCAGAAGATGACGACGACGGTTTCTAATTTTAAAATTCACATCATGTTTTTAATACGGATTATACCGATACGACTTTAAAATTTCTATTTATAAGTTAAATTGTGTACTAATGCCGTATTACTGCAATTTTGAAGCGACAGATATTTTCTAAATTATGAAATTTACATTAAATAAACTACAATAAACAATAAATCTAGAATTTTATAACTCCTTACATTTGTTCTAGATAAGTCTAGAATTTTATAAGTCATTACACGTGATTTACGTGTATTTAATACGGTTTTAAAAATGTTTGATGACAGGTAGCAAAAATTAATCAAATACCTGGAGATGTATCAACAAATTGCCGAGCTATCGTAAATATTAATTTTAGAAACACAGGCACACCATGGAAGCTAGAATTTGCACAAAGAAGAAAAATTGTAGAAATTCTCGAAAAGCTTTACAATATGTATAAAAAATTATTTTAGCTTGTGTTCATTCTTCTCGTTTGGTACATCTTTCAAAAATATCCAAAAGTTATACAAAAATTTTATTATGCTTTATAAAATAAAAAGGCAAAACCTTTTATTTTTAACAGCCTGATCGTCTATCTCGCTTTTTACTCACTTATTTACTTTCAAATTAGAATTCTCAGTATTTTCTAATGGATGTTTAACTTTTCCAATAAAATTACTAATTTTTTTATTTGGATTTTTGCATTTTTTCTCAAATTATTGACTGAATGTTTCACTTTCAAAAACAAGGTGAAAAACTTTTGTATACAGTTAAAAAAACGAGATACGCAATCAGAATAATTCTCACTAGATCAATTACAGGCCTTAACTTTTGCGCTTCTGATGCGAATGAAATATCTATTTTCATCAGCCCTATTATTAATTTCGTTCGTAGCTCCGAAAGTCAGAAAATTAGGAATTTCATATTTAAAATTCCAAATTACCAAAATTCTACTATGAATATTTCTAACAGAGTAATTATAAATTAAGTTTGTAGTAAAAATACCTCTCAAAAGTCTACGACGAAATTAAAAAGCAATTTAAAAAGCAATTTAAAGAAAGTGGTTATTTTAAATTTTGAAATTTTCAATTGTTTTTGTTTGAATTTCAGTTAAATAAAATATTTTTGGAAAGGCAAGTAAGAAGAATGCAGCAAAACGGAAAAAGGCTGAATTGAAAGAAGATATTACCGCAGCCATATTCAGCTGGAGCGAAAGCTTATAGGTTTCTGTGAAAAAGAGAATATGCGTTGCCCATCAAAATTTTTTAGAAAATCTCCTGAATAATTCCAACCACATTCTATTAAAAGGTAAAATAAAATTTCTTTATTTTAAAACTTGATTGCGTGGAAGAATAAGATCCTTAAATATCAAAGAGAGAAATAGTTATAATAAAAGAAAATTACTAAAAACCGTAACTTATAAATACAATTTGCTTTTACTTGAGGAAACTTGAAGTTACATATAAACAATTTTTTTCTAAATAGTAAATAAATAGCAATGACGTTAAAATTATATGATAATATTCTTTACCTTGCCTTGTTTATGTATTGACATAGAACATATGTATCTGTCAGTAAAATATCTGACAAATGTATTGACGTCAACCATGATTTGTACTAATGTAGAAAGATTCTATTATATGCAGCGCAGCGTGCCCACTTGTATACAATTGTATCCATTTGGATATATTTTTGCTCTAAATTTGGATACATTTTAGTAGATTTACTCAAATCTGCGAAAGTGCCGAATTTGGACACATATTGGAATATATGGATACATTCATTTCTCAAACATTGAATAAAAATTACAAAATTTTTAAAATGCTACTAATATTAAATCGCGAAATGGTTTTGTCTTCAAAACCTGTTACTTGCTGGCTTTTCTACCAAATTTCTGAATTTATTAAAAGAAAGCAAGTAAGATACTTTATTAAATGAATATCTCTTCCTGTATTCAAATCTAGAACATTTAACACGAACGTACCAGAAATATTTTGGTGTAAGCTAGGTGTAATAGAAAATGTATTGGCTGTACATAAGTATTTTTTAAAATTTTGAAATTTTTAAATTGTTGAATCGTCTTTACTGCATAGTCAACAGCTACAAAACATACATATACCCATGTATTTTCTAACCTAAACTTTTACATTTAAAAAGTAATACGGCCTCCTAATGAAAATCGGAACGCGTCCAAAATACCTCCGACGCATTTTTCTCGATTAACACCGCACATCTAGTATTTTCTAGCGTCATCCGAAATAATAGAATAACTTTGCTCCGGAACCCAAATTTTGCCATCGCCTCATATAATGCGGCGCGATGTGTGCTGTCAGAGGCAGGTTTAAAATCGATAAATTGGTGATGAGTATCGATTTGAAATTCGTGGGTTTCTTCCAGGATTTAACGAAGTGCGAAGATCTGGTCGTTGGTAAAGTTTCCCGGTCTAAAACCACATTGATAGTTTTCTATGACAATGTTACAAAGTGCTTTTAGACGGTCGCACTATATGCTGGATAGAATCTTGTATCCAATATTTATTAGGGTTATTCCACATATTTATTTATTAGGGATATTCCACGATGTGCGGGACATGGTATCACCTTTCTTGTGAATTACCTGTATGATGCTAACACTTCATTCATCGGGCATTCTTTCCTCCATCCAAATGCGGCATATGATCTGATGCATGGTCCTAACCAGCCTGTCAACTCCAGCTTTGAGTAGCTCTGCGGGCAGGCCATCAAAACCAGCTGCCGTATTGTTCTTGACTTTTTGAATGGCGTTGTTAACTTCCTCAAGGCTAGGTGGAGTTACCTCCGCATTGTTAGCAGGAATATTTGTTGTGGCTGCATCGCTTCCGGTGTATTCTCTATGCAGCAGCTCAAAATGCTGCTTCCACTTCGCAATATCCCTTCCGTATTGGTCATTAAATTTCCTGCACTATGTGCAAGCAGAACACATGTGTAGGGCTTGAATCCAGCTGACAGCTGTTTTGTTTTTGTATCAAAGCTCCTTACTTCCGCTCTGTTTCCATGTTTCTCTATATTCAAGCTGAGAACTTACGTTTTTTTCCTTATGACTTTGTTTTTTTGTCGTCTCTTTGCCTCTTGTGCATATTCCTCTTGTGCCGCCCCTAGTTTTCCGTTGCAGCGCTCTCCTGTATTCCTCATTTTTTTCCGCCGTTATCCTCGAACATTCATCATCATAACAAGGGTTTTTTTGAAAATGGTGACTTATAACTCAAGGTGTCACTGGCCATCTTTCTCATGGTGTCTGCGAAATGTTTCCACTGTTCATCAACGCACGTAAAAACAAAGGATGCGGAATTAGTTTTTTCGCAAAGTCGCTCTCTAAAGGCACCAGCTAGCCCGGTGGATTGCAAATTTCTAATGTCGAGTTTTTGCGTTGTCACCGTGTGCAGCTTCTTAACATTGCATATTCGAGCTCTGAGTCTAGCTGCAACTAAGAAGTGGTCAAAGTCGATATTTGTTTCTCTATACGCATACACTTGAACACACTTGAACCCAAAACACTTGAGCAGTGACAAACGTCGGCGAGGATATGGTCTATCTGATTGATTGTGCGACTGTTCGGGGCCAGCCAGGTTCCGTTGTGGATATCTCGGTGAGAAATACGTGCATGTTGCAATACGCTGCCAGGTCGATCAAGCGAAACCCATTGTCATTGGTGGTGTGGTGAAGACTGTGGGTACCGATAGTTTTTCTAAATATTCGCTCTCAACCAATCTTCGCATTGAAATCTCCCAACAAGATTTTTGCATCATATCGTGGATTTTGCATCAGACGCTCATTTGTCGGTTTAAACCCGATGACGCTACGTACTAGGAATCACATCCCATTTATGTTTTTTATGGCAGCTGTAGTAAATATCGTATTTTTTTTTCCTAAAAATTTCCTACCCAACGTATTTTTCTGTATGGCTTAGTCGAAGCAAGATAAAAAAATAATTATAAGTATTTTAATAGTACAATATTTTATTACCCTCGAAAAAGAAACATAAATTTGTTAAAAAATTTCTTATATTATCAGTTGTGTTTGACAAATTTACTCTAAACAATATTAATAACAATAAATATAAATACATATGTATATATTTTAATGACTCTAAAACAGTATAATTTTAAACAAATTTTAATTAATATGAGGATTATTACTCACTGAACATAGATGGCATGTTGCCGTGTTCTTCCTTATTCATTAAGGTTCACACACTAATGCATTCTAAAAAAGTATATTTTTTAAATAATTCCCGCTAATATTTTATTTTACTTACTGTAAAATAAAATTCAACTAATTCAACGGCATCGGGATGTCTTCATACATTTTTTGGTAACCAAATCTTCACTCTATAAAGGGAAATATATTTCTTTTAATCATTCTAAAAAAAGGTTGTTTAAAATATTTTCACTTTATCAAAATCCGGTCCTGGTAAAATTATGTTATCCGAAGTAATTTTAATTTAAAACAAAACAAAAACCAATGTTTTCTTTGCAAAATTACAAATTACCTGATAAAATTACAAATTATGAATTAATCAAAGCACTATTGTATAAATATTTCTTTTAATTATTTAAATCAATAATACTCACATGCATATGGTGGTAAAAAACTATTTGTCGAATATTGGGTATTTGTTTGTATTTTGAATACCCAATATTCGACAAGTCGAAACTTTGAAATCTGCCAAAATAGGATGTTTGAATAAAAAAAGTATGTTCGAAAATCGTACCATGTCTAAAGTTCTAAAGCATTGCTAGAATTTTATTTATATCCAGCAAAATTATTCCATGTTTGAAAAAAATCGTAGCATAAAAATAATAATTTGCTGCTATTGGTTTTATTTTTGTATATGTGTATATAATTAATATAATTAAACCCAGAAATCTACAAAAGTAAAATTTTTAATTATTAAAAATCAAGTATAATTATGCGACTAATTATTTTTAAGATTTTAGTTAGAAGAGCCTAAAAAGAAGCAATTAAATACCTTTAATTGATCATTTCTCTTATAATATACGAAAATAAAAAAATATTAAGTAAACGAAAAAGACCTACTTCTTCAATAGTTTTTTTTTAAACAAAAAAAAAAAACAATTTCAATAGAAAATAAATTAAGGAAGACATACGAATTATATCAAAGTTGACCTGATTAAATTAGTTCGGAAACATTTTTCAATGCGATGGCCTTATACATACCAGTACACCAAATATTGCCAACAAAAAAATACCACGAACTTCTATTTTACTGAGCCGAGCTTACCCAGCCTTTACACATACAAGTTACTTGCAAGCAAGTTTGTATAATATTAATTGTCAATTAGTTTTTCGAAATGTCAAATTACTTGCTATTATGACGTAGGCGTTTAGCAAGTTAATTTTTGAAAATGTCTTTGAGAAGAAAACAACTAGCAATATATATAATTTTAGAAACCATAAGTTTGCTAAGTTTAATTTTTTCAAAACAAAATTCATAAATTTTAAATTAAAAAAAAAAAAAAAATCAAAACAACAAATTTTTTTTTGTGAATTTCTCAAAATGTCAAATTACTTGCTCAAATTACTGGCAGCAAAATTTTCTTGCAAGTTGAACTGCAAGTAAACAAGCAAGTAGAAATATTTCAATGTGTTAGTAAAATTTTTGTATGTATTGCAACTTTCTTGCAAGTAACTTGTACGTGTAAATGCTGGGTTATGTGCTATTCTGCAATTTCAAATTTAAAAAATTATTACAAATGACAGAAAGAAGATTATAAAATTTTTTTGTCTGTTACGCTCTGTTTTCAAAACGCTGAATTTGAAATCCGATTCAATCTTTGAGTTAAAGATTAATGTTAATATGACAGAAATCTTTAAATTGTTTTGAAGATAGTAATCGATATAAATCTATTCTGAATCGATTTTCGTAATTGAAGAATTTTTGAAAATGAATAATAGTTAATCGTCAATAAAAAATTTATTCACAATAGGAGTCAAACCATTCAATTTAGAAGTAAAGTGTTGTTGTTGTTACTTCGAATTATTATTCCCAATTATATTTGATCGACAAATATAATAAGCTTATTAAAAACCAAGTTTTTGTATGATTTCTACTTTTATTTTAAAATGAAGTTTGCTCCTTATTTTTACTCTACGCTTTTACTTTTTAACTTATATAATAAGCTTATTAAAAACCAAGTTTTTGTATGATTTCTACTTTTATTTTAAAATGAAGTTTGCTCCTTATTTTTACTCTACGCTTTTACTTTTTAACTTTTTAAAAAAGTACTTTTTATACATAGTTCTTTAATAAAGAACTTTTGACACAATAGAAACTTTTCGAATTCCTTGAATAGTTCGAAATTTTTCGAAACTTTTGAAACTTTTCAAAAGTTTTGATCTTAGTTCAATAGGGCCCAGTTTAACAAAATCAATTGCCGCTCAAAAATTGTTTTGAGAACTGTCAATTTAAAAAAATTCCCGTTATTGAAGAAGTTTTTGTGTTTTGGGACATTATTTCTTATATATGTACGTAATTTTCTTTCAATGTGTGTAAATTTAGAAAGCAACCGGATATTTAGATTTTGTTGATTTAGTAACAGTAGTTTTAACAGCATGATATGGATATTTGTTATATGTATATTTTATGTTAATGGTAATTCAGCGATATAGATTTTATTTAAAAAAATTAGTTATGAATTGAGAAAAGAATGGAAAAAGTAATAATATAAGATGAAGGTTTTTCATTACATATCAATGTTTAATTTGTAAACATGATTGCGAAAGAACGGAACTTCTTCGAAGAATAATACTACAATTTACACATATATTTCCATTCACTTACTTTTTTGGACTAACTTTTGAAGAAAATTAGAAAATGTGAAAATATAAAATATAAGGAAAAATTAAATCATGTGCAACAACAAAGTGAAAAAATTCTTCAAAAACCTCTTGGTTTTTTTTATTTGGCGCTAGAGTACAACATGTTGGCAGGTGGCGCGAAAATTGACATTTACATTTGACACATCCCGTGTGAGATATATTAAACGTTCTGAATGATTAAATTTGTGTGCGTAAAAAAATGTGTGAATGTGTTTGTCACATTTTGATTGAAAGATGTGAAATTTTTTTCGTAGACACGAAGAAATATATAAATTTTAATCATTATCTACTCTTTTATTTCATAATTAAGTTTTAAAAAATTGCAAATAAATGGCTAGTTTTAATTCATTGAAGTGTTTAAGTGTGAACGAAATAATCTTAAAGGGAAAAGTTAACAAAATTTAATGATTTCCTTATACCGCAAAATTACAATTATATTGTGGAGAAAAAATTTGAAAGGCGAGAATCAGCACCATTTTTGCTACCCTGTGAGTGCCTCTATAAAAAAAGACAAAATATCAAAAGGAAATCATAAGAAAAATAATTGTGTGAAAAAATGCTTTAAAAGTTTTTCATACGGCTACAGTTTTAAAGTGTATTTACAATTTTTAAATAAACTTTATTATATAGAAAAATTTAAATATTTAGTGCTAGGAACTTGGTCTTGCATTATTGCAAATTTTAATTTTATTGAAGCGTGTTCTATTTTCAATAGCTCATATTACCAGCTCCCTCTACCTACTCGTATTTTTAAAATATAATTGTATATGTCATTTGTACTTAAGGCTGAAAATAATTTACTTTTGGGATATCAAAAAAAAATTTAAAAATATATGAATATAAATAAATCGTGAATAGAATTGTAGAATATCAAAATTATAAAGTTTATAATGTCAGCCATTTGAGAACAAAGACAGCGAGAGAATCTGTGCATAACTATTATTAGTAAAAACTTTAAAATTGCACTTTAAAAATATAGGTAGAAAAAAAATAGAAAATCCTAAAAAATTTCTATATAAATATATGCAAACATAAAAAGATATATATGTATGTAAAATTACAAATCTTATAAGATTAAATTCAAACTTGACGTTTTATGAGCCACATAAAGAAGAAGTACTTTATATGTATAGTGAAGATTGTATCAACTTAGCAGTTTTGGTTTGAAGAAAACAAAAATATAGACATTTTCTTATAAAAATAAAGTTTTGAAAATTAGGTGTGGTAAATAAAAAAGCAGAAAACATATCTTAATGTTTTTGCCAAATATTTAACCAAAATATTTTCAACGACCAACGCCATAATTAATCCACCAGCATTAAAATGATTTGCAAGGAGGACATTGTTTCATGGTTTAAGGAATTAGAAAGTTATCGTCGAATCGACATCATGTGCACTTTATTAAATATGTGCTTGCCATTTGAATTAAGGTTTCTTGGCACTTGCCTTGAAGAACTTGGACGTCGAGATTCTCAGGAATTGCGTGGAATAGAACTGAGGGTTAATAATCCGCAAGAGTTATCATCGGATATTGCAAGTTGTCAATCAGGAGAGCCAACCGATTTAAAAATTCGTAGAAAAATGGCGTTATACTTGGCTTTGATTAGAGCCTGTAACAGATCATGCGTTAATGAATTATTTAAAACGTTAGATAGCTGGGGAGAATTGGATTTTCAAAAATTATCCGATGTAGATACATTACATGAACTTCTATTAGTATATTCTATGGCGACAAATCATCCAGTTTTTTCATTTGAACAGAGATTTAAGTGTAATGAAATATTTTTGAAAATTCAAGATAATAAATTAATAAGCGGAGCAACACATCTGTCACATTCACAACATCATCCTCAACAGCAACCCCAACAGCAACAACATCAGCAGCAACCTTTTGGCGATCAACAATTACATTTAGGAGGTCAGTTGCATAATTTACATGGGGGTCCCCAACAACATTTGCTTCATTCAATTCCTCTTCTTCCACCTGGATATATTCATCAGGTACGACGGTCACTCTTATATATCTATTAAGATTTAATTAAAAAATGTAATATTTATATTTAGATAATACCATCAGATGGCAGTATACAGCATCAGTTGACTGTTGATGGTATTTCACATATGATTCCAAATATGGCACTTCCATCTGATTTCGCAACACATCCGAATGCGTTATTTCAAATAAGGCCGAATATGCCATCATATCCTTTACCACCTCAACCCCCATCTTTGGAGGTAGTATATACATATCACAATTTGCTTACCTTATTTTTATTGAGAACTATTTTAATATAATTTTCTTTTTTTTTTGTTTTAAAAAAAGACCCAACATCCGCCTCAATCGACATCCCCATTATTAAGTCAACCAACATCCCCCTCAAATAGTCGAACAGCTAGTCCAAACCGATCAACATCTAGTGGTATACTGCAGCAAACAAGTGGTAATCAACAACAACCGCCACAAATTAGAAATCAGCAATCGCAGCAGCAAAGAATAACATTACGAAATAGCCGCCGTCCATCAGTTGAAACTACTCCACCACCAGTTGTTCAATCACAACAGCAGCAGTCGCAACAGTTAATAAATTTAATTGGAAGTGAAATATTACCACAAAGTTTGAAAAATATGGACGAAGTGAGTAAAAAAAGATCTACTTGTTTGGAAGTAATAAAATAGAAAAGTAAAGCACATTTTCGCTTTTTTAGTTTGAAATTTAAACAATTTTTTATTTTTAGTAGTAGCTTTCTGAACTGCATGATTATGTTTAATTTCAATATTAATATATTTTTACATACATAATATGTTTACATATATTTTGTTTTTTATTTTGAAATTTGTATTGTATTGACTTAATATAGCTTTATTAAATTTATTTTTATATTATGCAATTATTGTGTGCTTTCATTAACATTTTAAGCCCTTTCAACTACACGTAACTGTTTCAGTAGTTTTTCTGCTTTTTTTTCTTAATTAAGTTTTCAAGTTAATTCAATTTTCTTCAGCTATGAGATTTTATTTTATGTTTTAATGATAAAATAGCTAATACTATACTTCCTTTCTTGATGCACATAATATTTGGTTATTTCTCAAAATTTGTCAAAAAAAAATGTATAGTTTGATATAACCACTCCTGTTTTATCTTATTTATTTATATTAAATTGTTTTTTTTTAGTTAATAAGTGCAGACGGAACAATTTCACAATTCAACAGGAACGGTTATACAAGACCGGGTCATCATACAATACCTCGTCAATCCAAATCTGCAATGCAACATATGCAGCATCATAATCAACAGCAACAATTACAACAGCTTCCTCAACATCAGCATTTACAGTCTTTTATATCAAGTGGTGGTGGTGGTGGTGGTGGACCAGCGTCGTTACCACCGAATTTCAGTGGGGTCAATCCAAATATTACATATGCATTACAAAATATGACTTTAGTAGATGTTCATAATCCAATTATAGAAAATAATGTGATGAGTAGTAGTACTAGCAGTAGTTTAACTAGCCGTGGTCATAAAAGTTCTAGTACTGGTGGCGGTGCGGGAAGTGACAGTGGGAGCTCTGGTTCAACAGGCGATATTTCACCGCCAGAAACACCAACTCTTAATACATCAGCACCACAAGGTGTAGCAATTGGGGGAAATGCAGGGGGTGGTAGATTGAATGACCAAACTACTGTAAATTATTCGAATAGGAGACTTAATGGAAGACCTGAGAAATTGTTAACAAGTGTTTTGTCTATTAGTGGTTCTAATCAACCACAGCAGCAGTTAATGTACGCGCCGAATGCTACAAGTCCGCCACAGTCACAGCCTCAATTTCATCTGGGAAACGATATAATATTAACAACAAATCCAAATTTAATACAATCGCCTGTTTCAAATAACAATAATAGTAGTAATAATTTAATAAATTCAATTGGTTCAGTTGTAAGCGGTTCAAGTAACAATAATTTAGTGACTAGTACATTAGTAATAACGACGCCACAACAGCAGTTTAGTTCTGGCGGCACATTTCCAGCCCCATATCATTCACAGCATTTGGCAGCAGCTATGCAAGCAGCGGCTGCAGCAGGAACGCCTGCTAGGCCACCAATCCTGTCACACAATCCCGGGATTGGACCGGCGGGAATAGCTCCAGGAACATTTAGACATCCTAGTTTTCAAATTCAATCGAATGGTGAGCATATATTGTATCCCTATCCACCTCAAGTTGCAGCTGCAGCCTTATCTCAGTTTTTGCCAGCTCCACCACCCCCAAATGCAGGTCAAACTTCAATACATCGGTCTTCGCCATCGACAGTAACTACAGGAATGCCACCGCCACAACAAATAGTGGTATCAACATCTCAGCAACAACAACAATCGCAACAACCACAAATTCACACGCAAACCATTACTCAAACACAGTCCAGTTCAATTGGTTCCAATATGAACCCGAACCAATCACCCAATGCTGCTCTTCTTACTGCATTACCTTTTACGGCTTTAACTGTAGGGAATAAGCAAATAATTTCTTGTTTTAACTGTGGTTCACAAAATCATACAGGACGTGAATGTCACGAACCGAGTTTAGAAGATGTAACACGTGGAGCTATATATAAATTGGACTATTCCACTTCAGCTATTTCGCCTGCTGCTGGTGGCGTTTCTGGCAATAGCAGTAACATTAGCAGTAATAATAGTAATAATACTAGTAATAGCAATACGGCGATAATGACTAATAATCCTTCGTCAACGACCACATCAATAATAAATAATAGTAGTACGAATATTAGTAATAATAGTAGTAATAACAGTAGTCAGTTAAATCAAAATAGTAGCGAAATATTAAATGAAACATCATCGCCAGCTTCTTCATCGTCATCACTGTCGCTGTCAAATAAGTGATTTATTATAAATAAGATTTTTTAGGAATTTTTAGGAATATAAAATTATAAAAACAGTAACAAAATTATTTATATATATATATATTGTTTATAGATGAATTGATATATAGTATATTGATCATATAAGTATATATGTGTTTGTATATACATATATATGGATGCATAATATATGCATATATTAATACCCTTATGATTTTTATTTCCAATTTTTTTTTATTGTTACGTTAAATTAATTTAATGTTTGCGTTTTTTTCTTTTTTTTTAACAAAGCTAGTTGAACAAGACGCGTTTATTGCAATTATTGCTTGCATATTAAACCAGATTGCAAAAAAATACTTATTTTTTTTATAAAAAACGCGATATTTTAAAGATTAAATTTAAACTGATATTATATTCCTAAGATAAAATGTTCGTTATTTGTTAGAGGTAAACTTGAATCGTAATAATATTGTGAAGTATTGCCTTACTTTTAAATAATTTTTTTATTTGTTATATAGACACCTGGAATACGTGGAGTATTTTAGTTGAATTCAAGTGATGTTTTAAAATTTTAAGATATTTTAACGTTTAACTAAATGATTCTGTATATATAAAATATATACATTTATTACAAATAGATAAAATATGTAATTTTAAAATTTCCGTAAAGCTAATTTGAAGTAAAAAAGCAAGAGATTATTTAATACTTTATTCTACTTGTAATGAGTAAAACATCACTTTATATTTCACAAAATTCAATTATTTAAAAAAAATCGCAACTTTATTTTATGCTACCATTTACAAATTATTGAGCTTGACATAAATACTTCTGGAAATCTTCTGTAATTTCACATCAAAAATATAACAACCAAATACTCTAACATTTATATGCATTATTTTATCTTTTATTATTGAAAATTAAAAAATAATTATTGTGTGCCATTTTGTAGAAAGGATAATTTTATCTTATATCTTATAAAATATTTCAACAACTTCATTTAAATTGTAAATTTTAACGCGAATTTATATAAAAAAAAGAAAAATTCATCAAATGAACAAAAGCTCTGATTTAAATTTTATTAAAAATAAAATAAAAAGTGAAACAAAAAAATATATTACTACTTGAACCTATCATAAGCATAATAATTAATAATAATATATTTAAATTAAATTTAATTAATTAAATAAATAACGCATTGTAATTATATATATGTAAAAAAAAAAAAAACAAAAGAAAAAATAATGTGGGAGTAAAAGCAAAAATGGCAATGATTAAACAATCATTGAAAAAAAAACAAGAAAATATAAAATTAAATTTTAAAGTTTAAATCCAATTATATAAATTTAAAATGTTAAATATTCATGTTTTTTCTTTGTTTTTTTTTTGTTAATTTAAAAAAATAAAAAATAATAAATAATAAAACCAGATGAAATTAATTTATAATTTTAAGTCATTTTTAAGAATAAATATTTTATAGTAGACTGTAAATTATATTCATATATATTATACAAATAAAATTTGCAAATGATGGAAAAAAATATAAAATAAATAAGTAAATAAAATACCACACATTAAAACTAATCTATTGTATCTATTTCATTTTTTTAAAAACAACAAAACTTAACTAGAAAATTAGAATAAAAATATTACAAAAAATTACAAAAGTAAAAACTATTAAAAAATTATCAAATTAACAAAAAACTCAAAATATAAAAACAGAAAGAATGAAACAAAATAACCAATAACATATAACAGTTCTTAAAACTATTATTTTTTTTTGTTTTTTTTTTTTTTATATAAATATTTATTCTCTTAAGTAAAACAAAAAAAAAATAATTAAATTATTACTTTTTTAATTTTGCTTTTTTTTCTAGTTTAAACGTTTTTAAATCATTGTAAATATTTTTAGAAAATTTAAATTATATTAATTTAATTTAAATTAAGTTGAACAATTTATTCAAGCTTTGGTTTTTTATAAAGGAAAAAGTCGCATGGTAGTTTCATAAAAGAGAAATGGTTAAAGTTGTGTGGTCTGAGAAGAAAGGGTTCATTTTCATAAAACTAAATATTGTATAATTTCTAAAACTTGTAATAGAAGAACCAAATTATAAAATTTGGCTTATTAATTTCTAAAAAACAATTCAGTGTTTTTGCGTTATATTTCCCTGTAAACGCAAATAGAACAAATTGATTTTTATAAGATTTATAGGTTTTTTTTTTAAATATCTTTTTAAGTAGCAATTCAGAAATTATATAACAAAATTCAATATTTCATTTTTGATTTTTGGGTGAATCTATTATAGGGTGTCTACCAAAATGAAAATCTAATGTAAATTTATCTTATTCGGCAATTGGAATTGTATTGTTGAATAAATCAAATTGACGTTAAATCTGCAGTTTGTAGATGCCCATATATTCAAAATTTAGGCAATTTAAATACATGTTTATAAAAAAGTTTATAAAAATATATCTTTCCCTATAAGATCATGACATTTTTTTAAAATAAAGAAAAATTAAATTATAATTAATACATTAGTAATTTTGTTGTGGACTTTAAACTTTTTTCGTTTGTCATCCTTTTTTTCTTATTTGTTAAAGCTTTTAATTTATATAAAAATAAGCTTTTTGAATTATTTAATAAAAATTTCAATAATTTTCTAATTCATTATATCAAATTTTTACACATATTTCTTTTCTCATCTATGTATATTGATGGTAAATCCATTTGGAAAGAATTAAATCAAAATTAAATTTTAAACTATTTAAATTACTAAGAAACTCTTTGTCTATAAAATATTTACCCAATCAAACATCATTTAAATCAGTTAGCAGATTTCATTCAACAAAATTTTTAATTTTAATTTTTTGTAGGTTGTTATAATTTTTTAATCGATTGCATGATTATTAAAAATAAAGAAATATGTAATTTTGAACTTTGACATTTTTGTTTGGAAAAAGCTCTAATCTTTCCTTTAGTATTTTTTTCAAAAAACTATTCCAGGAAATTTATAGTCTATATATATATAAATATATATATTTTGCAAAATGAAATTGTACAAAATTCTTAAATATATAAAATTACAATAATTTTTTTAGTTGATCATTGTAGTAATTAAGCCAACATTATTTTTACTAGTATGCCGTTTATTTGCTCTAGTTATATTCTATTTAAAGATGTTCAGTGTGCTAATAAGATGATAGACTGAAAATTTGAATCCTTCTAATAGACTTTTAAGCACTGTTGTATCACGTGTACGCTACATTAAGTTTTTAATTCAAAAAGCTTAACAATAAAATTTAAAAATTGATTGATGAAGAAATATTTTAGGCACATAAACAAAGTTAGATAACAATAGATAAAATGCATATAATGTAACCATTTTATTTTTTGGCTGTATATGTAAATTAGAATTGTAAGTAATGAATGTGTAAAATAAAGTAATATAAAAAAAAACTAAAAAAACAATGAAAAAATTTAAATTATATTAAAAAGAATAAAAATTTGTAAACTTGTAAATTTATATTTATAAAGAATAATTATCGATAAATAATTTAGCATTATAATTTTTGGAAATAATTTAAAAAAAAAAAAACAAAAAAACTTTAGATTTAAATTTAATTTTTAATTTTATTTTTTATTATCAGAAATGTTAACATAAAGCAAAAAGTTTGAAATTATCTAGTTATTTAAATAAAAAAAAGAAACTAAAAAGGATAATGTAAAATCATAAAAAAAATCATGAAAAAAATTATAAAATAAAAAAAATAGTTTTTAAAATAAAGAAGCAAAAATTATACCGTTTGAAAAGTGATAGTAATAAATATAGTTACTGTTAATCTCATAATTAAGTCCTTCTTAAAAAGTGTTTTTGATTTTGATTATCTAAGAATTATAAATATTTTTGACTACAATACCGTTATTATAATCGGTGAAGCGAATGGCTGGGCGAGTCGAATGGGCTAGGTGAATCGAACAATATTTTAAATTATGATTGGCAAATGCTTCCATTCGCCAGATCCAAAATTGTTGCTACCGCAAGACATTAGAAAACCTACCGAAAATAATAAGGTTAATACAACACATGTACATTGTTTTTGCAAATACGGAATTGTCGTTCATTAATTTGTTAAAATTTTCGTTGTTTTTGGCTTGTTTTTTTTCAAGCTTAAATTAATATTAAACAATCGGGATTGCATCTACGACGCATAAGACACATTGTTTCATCTTCTAAAATATCAACAAAAAAATTTGACGATATGTTATGTTCAGAATTTTTTTGATCTTGTTTCTGCGACGTTCATTGACACTGAAATATTTGTCAAAGTGTATAAAAATTTTTTTCAATACATACATACATATGTTTTTTTATATATTTTTTCAGTTCTAACTTCTAATAAAATTTTTAAATTAAAATAACTTGAAACTAAAAATTGTCTTATTAAAGTAAACAATGGAACCAAATAATGCAGGGCATCAAGGTTTTTAAGTTTTCAAATGTAAAATAATACAATGTGCTTGAAAAAAAGGATACATTGTATTAAAATTTAAATGAAGTTTTATTTTTTTTCGATATTGACCAAATCGTACAACTTGTATTGATGATTCCGAACAAACCAAATCACGTCAAATGCGATATCCATTAAAAAAACGCTTATGTACATACATACATACATATATATTATGTTGATTTTTGGTTTGGACAGATCTGACAGCTCATTCGCCTAAAATTTAGGCGAATTCGCTAGGCATAATGCCAAAAATTAACATTAGCCATAAAATATGTTTCATATACATAAATATTTCATTTGCTTCGCCGATCATAACAGGGGTCTAAAAGAAGTTCCAAATTCTCTCAAATATTTTTTTGTTTGCAAAGACAATTTACAATTTTTTAAATTATTCAAAATTTCCCGTTGTAGACAAAGAAATAAGTTCATTTAAACGAGACTTGCAGACGTCGCAAATTTTTAGAATGAGTTTTGCGTTTTTTTCTTACATTTTTAAATTTCTATAAATCTGATTTTATTTTTAGGTAATTGTTTTATTAGTTTTTTTTAATTAATAGTACACTTATGTACATATTTTGAATGTATTATATATTTATGGCATATGTATATAATTAAACAAGAGTTCGCAACAATTTAAAAATTTGCAAAATCTAACTCTCGTTTCATGCGCAACGTCAAAATCAAGCATTTTTTTTCTATATCAAAACGTGCTGATCCTTTGTCTGGGTTTATTGGGTGTACTAAGGGTAATATTAAACGATAAACTGAAGTTTTCAAATCGATACGGGATTCTGTTACTTCTAAATCCATATCATCGACCGAAATCTTTTCCTCTGGCATTTCTATTTGGATGACCATATCTTCGCAGCTCATAGAAGCCGGTGTGCGATTGTTTATCTGAAATTATAAAAATATGGGCATGTGAACATACATATGTAATTTACTCGACATAATTTATTTTAATATACTCCCAAAAATATATCTTCCGTTCCGACAACTTGTTTATATATTATTGAATACTCCGGTCGCTTTCTTGATTCCAAAATTTCCAAATCTTCCTTATTCTGGTTCTCCAACCATTTTTCAGCATCATCCTTCTCTTCTCTGTCTAATTCTGGTGGAAGTTTCTGTTTTTCTTGCTGCTCGTCCGTTTTTTTTGTTGATGGGATGTTAATTTGTTCAGATAAGTTTGTTAAGGCGGCTGGACCTTTCAAATAAATTATTTGCATATGTATATATATGTATGTATGTATGTATTTATGTTTGAACTATTTAATTATTGAAAAATACATTTTAGATAGATACTTACCTATTTTGTACTTATTATTTTTGTGGCTTTCATTTTCATCTGATGATTCTTCCGAGGAATCGCTTTTTGAGTAAAATAATTGCTGTAACGCTTTCATTTCATCAAAATAAGGTTCATTTGATTCAAAAAACGACATTTTTAACCAAAATTTTTTTTAATTAGATTTATGAATGTTATTATGTATTTTGTATGTACGAATGTATATTAAAGTTGTAAATCAAAAGAGAAAAATGTATGCTACAGAATATTTAAATTATAAAATTCAAATAACGAGAGGTTCGACCAAATCAAATTAATCCCTGCGACTAAGATAAATATATGCGAATATTTGGTAATGTATAATTTGTTTATATTTTATTGATTTAATGACAAAAGTAGCAACACTATCTTGGTAACATAAAATTTCTTCGAGTTTTACTTATTCTCAGTGTTCCCACTCGGAAAAAACAAAATATATCCAATTTCGAGAAAAAAATGTATCCAAAATGTATCCAACCTCGTAAAATAGCATTATTATAATAAGTCGTCTTATTTTGTACAAATTAACCCATAATTAATATTAATTTGCTTTATTCCACAATATGAGTTTTGTTATTTATACTAAATTCTTTAAGAAATCACATACAACTTCTATTATATTTTAAATGTGAAAGTTAAGGTCAGAAAAAAAATATGTATATATGCCTTCTGTAGTTGTTGAACTATGCGGTAAAGACGATTGACCATGAAAACGGACAAATTTTAAAAAATATGTACATCCAATGCATTTTCTATTACATCTAGCTAACACTAAAATATTTTTGGTACGTTCTTGTATGAATTTTCTAAATTTGAATACAGGAAGAGGCAGTTAATAAAGTATCTTTTTTACTTTCTTGTAAAAAATTCGGAAACCTGCTTAGAATAGCCAGCAAATAACATTTATTGATGATAAAGCAACTTCGCGATTTAATATTAGCAGCATTTTAACTGTCTTGTTATATTTATTTAGTGTTTGAAAAAAAATGTATCCATATTTCAGTAAAATTTTAAAATGTAGCCAATTTCGGCATTTTAGCAGATTTGAGTATCTTTGTATCCAAGCTCAAATTTAAAGCAAAAATGTATCCAAATGGATACAATTGTATCCAAGTGGGAACGCTGCTTATTCTTATATTCTCTTTTTTTACATGGGCATGTATGTATGTAACCATTTATACAGAGTGTTTTGCCTAAAGCAAATAATTTCGGTCTGATTCCTTGATCAATTTCTAGAAAAAGATTGTTTTGAAGGGCAGATATAGTCGTTTTCCAGGTACCAGATTTTTCCTGTATATAAATAAATTATTATAACTTTGGAACCATGCGACATAGGGTAACCGTCGAGAGCTTGTTTCAGAGGCGATTGATTGTTCTTTATTTTCGGTCTCACAATCAATTTGATTTGAGCCATAATTTTTGAGATAAAGCTCGTTAAAATTAGGATTTTTTGTTTTTTTTTTGAAATTTTTTTTGAAATTCCTAAATATTTTGAAAATATTTTTTCAAATATTTTGAAATATTTAGGAATCTAAAAAAATTTACGTTTTATTTTAATATTTAGGTACGTATTTATGTAAATAAGTATGTAAGTATATATGATTTTTTTATAATGCGATGAAGTTGCAATAGATTGCAACTGCTCCTTATGTGTCGTCTCATGACTTTACAAAATTACTTTAAAAAAATCGTTAACTATTGCTTTAAAATTTCCTTTCTTTTTTTTTTATATACATACACATAATCAAAGTATTTTTCACGTAGCTGTTGTTAACACTTTTTATCCCCTTTACATACACGACTACCAGAAATTGAAGTAACGTGATCGATGTCCAGAAACTGAACTAACGTGAGCTGAATGTATGTATGTTAATACAGTCAGACCAGCTATTTTTTTTTATTTCTTACTCAACTTTGGAGCATTGATTACTTCCACTTGCTTTTAGAGTCATGCATGCGTTTTACAGGTTATTGAGTTAACTTGGCGGTGACCAGTTTGCCGTATAGTTTTTCCTTATATTAAGTGTTGAAGGTTATTGATATTTCTTGTTTATTTTTCCTTGGTGTGCTAGGGTTGTCATTCGTACACTTTAAGTGTAAATTTTTACTTTTCGTAACCTTACACTTTGTTTACTTTACTTTTTTCCAAAAAAAAAACTTTTTTATACTCTTTTTTAAAGACTACAGTTTTTTACACTTTTTTGACAAGAGAAAGAAACCCTTTCATTTGTTTCAGCCCTTTGTAAAAAAAAACTGTACTTGTATTTGTTGTGACAGACTTGATCGTTTGAAGTTTTCAAGAGAAATAGATTAAGTATGACAACCATTAAATACAATTAAATAAACCACAATATGTAAATAATTTTAAGATGTATATAAAAGTGATGAGGAGTCTTTGAAAGTCTATGGCTTTTATGCAATTTTTCCAAAAAAAAAATATTAGTAAAAGGAACAAGCACTACTCGTAACAATACGAAAATAGAATAGCAAAAAAAAAAAAATTACTTGAATGCATATAATAAAAAAATTAAAAGGAATAATGAAAAATTAAAATAATAATAATAAACGAACTAGTGTTCATGTCATTTCGATTTATGAAAAATTTTTCTCGTTAAGAAAGTTTTCTGTCTTCAATTGAATAGATGTGAATTTTCATTATAATATATTTTTACCGACCGCGTTGTATACGTTAAGGTAGGTTATGTGAAGAAAACAAATTTTGCTTATCGAGTTTTTAGTGGGAACGCCCTTCTCCATGGTAGGGAAGTGTAAATAAACTATTTTTTGCAACCTGTCGGTTTGTCGGTCTGTCTGTCTTTGTATGCGTGTATCTCAAGTTTTGCTGAACCGATTTTCATGAAATTTTATAAGTGAGTTTTTTTTTTGGCTATGTCACGGATCGATCAACTTTTGGAATATATCAGACCTTGGGAACTGGACTTTTTTACGGCCAATTCTACATTTTTGTCCATATAAAGAAAAATAATCAACCAATTTCCTTCACATTTATTATTTAACTTTGGAGTGTTAAAACTAATTGAACATATGAATTTTTTGGAGCGATCAGGGCTTGGAAACCGAAATACAAGGGCCGAATTTACATTTTTTATTATATTCATGGAGCTACTTGATGGAATTTCTTGAAATTTGATATTTGAGTTCTGGTTGTTACCGAAACTAACTGGTACATATTTCAGGGAATTCAAATGGCAGAAAGCGAAACTCTACTAAGAGCCATAATTTACATTTTTCTGGGTATGTTAACTTAAAGCTTTCTAACGCCCTAAAAATTGGAAACGCATTTTTATAATATTCAGTAACATTTTCAGCTAACAATAAAGCTTGCGGTCGGTTATGTGCTGATCACATCAGATTTTTTTAACTTGATTTGGTTAATGAATACTTATATGTATTTGTTTGAATAAAAATATTTACATATTTTTCACATGAAAACTTTGTGTTGCACCCAAATTACATTATACACTTTTTTTATCAAATACGTTTATGATATGGTAATCCTATGGTAAGCAATATAGAATATTAGGTCTGTTTAATAAAAGAAAGTTTTTAAAAACTTAATAAAACTGGTACAATACTTTTTGAAGAAAAATTTGAAATGAAAATGATGACGTTTTCATTTTCTCAATGTTTGAAGTTTATTTAATAGTTTTGTAAAAAAATATTTCGTATTTTAAAAACTTTTACTATCTTAAAGCCGTCCAAACATATATGTATGTTTTTCTTGGTTATGTCAGAAGGTTTTATTTAAAAAAAAAAAAATTTCATCTTTTTACCTAACAAACCTATTAAGTATAATTATTCTAGTGATCTGCCCAAGGTTTCAACTCGAAATCCTTCGGCTGAAGGACCAGTGCTGTAACAACTGCACCATTGATCACATAAAGAATATATTTCATAGGATCATTTCTGTAGTGGAACTTTATTAAGGAGCAGCTTACGGAGAACATTGAAAGTTTCACGATTTCGTATTTACACGGTTTTATACATAGGTAAAAGAGTTCAGTTACAAGCACAAATTTTCCTTTTAAGCGAGTTTTCTCGATTACAAGTTTGAAGGAAAATATGTCTAAATTAGGAGGTAAAAAGTTGAAAAATGTAATAGTTTTTTAAAGCTTTTAATGGTGGTTCCACAAAAATTTTAGGCGTATTAGATCATATTGTTTCCTTTTTCAGCTGATTTAATTTTACATTGTTGTTTATCATTGTTTCAAAATTTATTTGCTGTGTATACTCTGGTATTTTAAATATCAAATTTTTCCCAGGTGCATTAAGTCTTTTTTATACCGGATCCTTTAACCATTTTCCGAAATGAGTAATTTCCACTTCTTTTATTTGACAAAAAAAGGGGAAACTCCATATGACAAACTTTCATATTTCGCATCAATTTACAATCTTGTGGTGCTCTACTCTTTTATCAAGTTCTTCTAGCTTTCTTTCTTTGCTTTATTTCTTACTTCAAGCGAATAATTTATATAATGTACTACTTATGTAAATGCCATTTTCTGTTATATTCATACGAGTTACCGATTGTATTCGATGTGCCAATAGTTCTATATCTTCTTCTAGCTGTAAGGGTGCCTTAAGTGCTAAATTTAATTTACTGAATGTAAATTCGCGTTCGTTTTTGCAAAAACTCTTACAATAAAATATAATTTATGACATCCAATTGATAAATTACGTTTTAATAATGAACGTATTCAATTAATATTTTTAATTATTTGATATTAAAAATTTTTCTTAAAAAATGCTATCATATAAAAAAAATTAGCTTCACTCAGTAGATAATTTTTTGTTTTTCTTTGACTTTTTATTTGGTAAAAAATCATTTATGCAGATTTCATCTGGTGTACCGTGTACGTATAGTGAAGGCATAATACATACATATACCATAAACATTTATGTATATACGTATATGCAAAATTTATATATCCAAGAATTGTGTAATATAGAAAAAGAAAATTTTTTCTAAGTCAGGTGAGTTTCGAGCTTTTGATATGTTTATTATACATAAGTCACTTATCGCTAAAATTTTTAATTTGTATTTATTTTCATTAGTTCTAGATTTAGATTAGAACCTTTAAAATTTATAGCGATTCTTTTTGATGAAACCTAAAATTTTTTGATTTCATTCATGTTAAATGTTTGTCTAAAAGTGACTCAAAATGTCTTATAGTGTATCTTTTTTAATCAGTGTGTTACATTATAGACTTAATATGTAGGTATGTGTAAATCACTCATATTTGTTTCTTTATACTGTAAGTTTGATTTATGTTGTATGAATAATATGACAAAGATATGTAAATATATAAATATTAATAGACGTAAAAAATAAAGTAATCAGGTTTTTATCGTTTCTTGACTTTTAAGGAGGTGAAACGCGTATAGTATGTTGGTAGTATCTTAAACTCATTGTCAAACAAAACGTTTTTTTCTCATTTCATTCATTATTTTTTCTAGTGAACTTTTCATTGAAAAAGTTTTCTTACTATGCCATTTCTAGACTTGCAAGCATATTGTTTTAAAGCATATGTATGTATATATGTATGAATGTATTATATTTATACAGATTTACCTATACTCAAAATAAGATAAAGAATAAATTTAATTATGTTTGCTACGTAGAAAATATTAAAATTTTTTTATATGTGTACTTCTTGAACCAGTCATATTATTAAGTTAAACCAGTCAGCCTTATCTCATATTACGTTAAATTTTTACTGAAACTACTTTTCACAAAAATTCTTATAAATATAATATTCTTCTGCGCGAAAGTTCACACCCATATGTATGGCAGTGAAAAAGTTGTATGACTGTAATATAAAAAGGAAGAAGATCAATAAATTACAATTTGAAAATGTTTTTTGAAATGCTGTAATTAAAGTTTTTCGTAAATGATATTATTAAAATAATATTTTATTGTAAAAACTTTATTTAACATTTTCTTAATAAATTTTTAGATAAAATCATAATGAATACAATTATCCAATTAAAAAAGGTTTACCAAAAAAGTTTATACCAAATAATGAAAAACAAGCTAATTTATAGTTTGTGATATTTAGTTAACGAAGGATAATGCACTTCGATGAAAGAACTTTCAAAAGATTAAAATCTTTGAAAGTTTATACGTATATATATTTGCGTATATATTTGAACCATTAAGGGTTAATTAAAATGAAATAAATAAATATTTAGGTTAATGTTTATCGGTTTCTATTTTTTTCTAGTGTTCTATAAATATTATTTTATAGTTCGCGAATATTAAAATACGGTTAAAAACAATTTTAACCGTATGCAAATTTTATGTGAAATTTAAAATTTTTAATTAATGGAGGATCTTTTTTAATTTTGTAATTCAACTTCCAAAATTTAAAAAATATTCTTAAACTTCGAAGTTTTAATTCGAAATGATGAATAATAAATATTTAAGATTTTAAAATTTTAAAAGTATGTAGAAATTAATAATACGTTAGACGTATTTTGTCCGAAAATCATTTTTTTTTTCATTTGTCTTTCACGTTATTGTGTCTTAAAATTTAATGTTCAATTTTTGGCTTCCTATGTTTTTGATACTGTAAAATTTTCTAAATTTCGCAAAACAAGAAAACTGTAATGTAATACATGTAATGTTTTGATACTGTAAAATCGCAAAAATATCAAAAAATAATGATTAAATTTTTACCATAAAAGTTATAATTATTTATTTTAAACTGAGAAGGATTTTGCTTCGCTTCCTAATTTTACGTAATTGATATTTGTTCTTCGCCCGAATGTATGCAATATTTTTTTCCTTTCATATTTTCTATACCAATACAAATTCGGTAGATAGTTATTTATGAGGAAAACTTGTATGGGTTTTTAAAAGGTTAATTTCTGTTGTCTATTAGAATTGTATTTATGGATATATACTAAATAAATTGATAAAATCCTTTCAGTTCAGACATAATTTTTTTTGTAGAAATTGGGAATAAAAAGAAGCTGAGAGAGTAAATATCAGTAAGAGCACAGGTTTATCTAACAACGAGTAAATTATAAATTTTTCTTGTTTAATTTACTATAAAAATTTATTTTTTGTGTTTTTTTTTCTTTTTTTTTTGTGGAGAGAAAATTTATTTGGACGCGATATTGCTAGGTAACTAAAGCTATTTCAGATTTACAAAAGCATATTCATTACTGATGCGTGTTCCATTGTATTTTTTTTTACGAAATTTTATATCTGTTTTCATAATCTTCTTAAATAAACTAAGAAAGATTTTTGGTTCTCTTGAGAATTTTTTAATTGTTTTCAGTTTTATTTTGAAATTCAAATGAGAATGAAGTAAAAAATGTGATTTTTTCTTTATGAATTCACACCGAAAAGAAAATAATAATGTTTTTTTTTTAATTTAAGAATAATATTTTTTAATTCTGGTGCACTCAGATGTATGTTTTACAAAAAATGTTGTTTACATCATTTGAATTAAAAATAAAATTTGGAAATTTTAATAAAAAAATATTATTAAAAAATTAAATAAAGTGGATCTGTGATTTTAATCATTATTTAAATAGTGAAAATTAAAATTTGAATTGAAAAAGTAAAACAAATTAAATTTAATTGTTTAGTTATTGTTGACATTTAACAAATATAGTATTCTTACTATATGTAAATTTAAATATGTATATATGTGTAGCGTGTTGTGTTGTAGTGTAACTAAAATTTGTACCAGTAGCAATATTTTTAATGAAATTTACTTAATCATCGAATTATAAAAATTAACATTGTAAGATTTTTTCTATCAAGAATATCTTCAAATATGAAGGTGAGACTTTGTTTTCATTAAATGTTCTATTATAATTTAAGTAAAATTATTTTATAATTTAAAATGAAAATCTGATTGAAAAAATAATTTATTAAAAAATTGTTTACACAAAACGAAATTTTATTTGTTTATTTAAGGCATAGAAATTTTACCATTATTATCTAAACAATTATTTTAATTACATATTTCATAATCAGCTTAAATTTCAATTGCTATAATTATATGCATTTTTTCGAAAGTTCTTTTGGTATTGAAAAAATTGAGATACATATTTCTAAATTAAAAATTCTTCAACTTTAACTTGTCGTTTTATTTATTTCTTAAATTGATTGCACATTTAGTAGAACCAACTAAAATTTGAATTTATTAGAAAAACTTTTAGAAAATAAAAAGTTTTTATTTTTTTCATTAAAAAAAAAAAAACAAGTGAAATCTTATACATATTTTGAAATTTTAAGGATGAATCTTGCTTCATTTGCTACAAAAAAAAATGGCTGAGAATAGATATTGAAAAGATTTTTTTTCAAAACTAAACTGTAGTTGAATTAAAAGTTTGTAATAGAAAGTAATTTAGCGTATTCAATATCGCCTTTCGAAAAAAGTTATTAAGTTAAGCAAGTTAAGTATTATTTTTAAAAGCTTGAACAAATACATATTTAGTGATTAACAGTAATAAAAGAAATTTTCGAGCTGCATTTCTTTTCACGATCTCGAATATAATTTGATCTGTCGAATGCGAAACAAAGATTTTTCATAACATAAGTCAAAATTTCGTTTACTGCAATTAATAATTTTGATTTATAAATTTTTCAATTAAGCAGCATGTAATTGAGCTTGTAATTTTCTCTGTAACGCTTGTTAATAAAATAAATATTAATTGTTTATATACCTACATATATACATATGTAGGTATATATTGGTAAAGCTTTATCAATAAATTTTCTTAATTCAAAATTATAATGGAATAAGTGAAAGAAGTTTTATTCTATATATTATCCATCTATTTATGAATAGTGCGATTATTCATAATTGTTATATTAACAAATTGTTAAATCAACAACACTGACAATGACTTCTTTATAGCAAACTCTCAAAATTTAACAGGTTTACTACACTTTTAAGAATTCTTGTGATTAATTCTGTATGAAAACTTCTCGCTGAATTTCTAATGAAACTTTTAGATATATAAATTTTACATAATACATACTCCCACACTATTGTATATGGAACAGAATTTAGCTTAAATATATATTCTTATGTGTAAATGTATGTAGCATCGGTTTTATGTGCTTTTTTTCGGACAAACGACATTTTTTGACTTTTTGTATTAAACATGTTTTTTAGTATTTCTGGCAGTTGCGTTCCATAATTTCTTAAAATATTTGTTAATTTCATCTATTTTATCTAATCAATTTTTCTTGGTTCCTTTCTTCTATTTTACCAATTTGTTTAAATTCTTTTATGTCAATTAATTTTCAACGCGGAATAATTGAAAATTTAGTATTCTACTGTATTTCAATTTTGGAAAATTACACACGAATTCGGACAACTTCATTACTCGCGAAACCAGAGATTTCTGAGGCTAACGATTTAGTTAATGACAAAAAACGCTGTCTTTCAAAAATTTTTATAGTTAAATTTATATTTAACTCTGAAAATTTGGGAAGTGATAAAATTATATTTTTCTTTAATGGGATAAATTTCTTTTAAATCCACAAAATATTTTAATAGTAATTAAATTTTAAAGACAATTTCCTTAAGATCTCATATGTGGCGCTTATCCGGAATAGGTACTACATCCACAATATATGTATAAATATTTTATATCTATATATGCGTTAAACATACATATGTACATTTTATTTTTTTAAAAGTTTTAAATGTTAATAATTGTTATTCATTTCAAATAAAAAATGAAACATATGCGAAAAATTCAAAAATTTAACCAGAAAATTTACGATAATTATATTCCAAAAAAAAAAACGATAAAAAATTAAATAAATAAAATGAGAATATCACGCTTTTAACAAAAAAAAAAGAAAAATATTGAATCAATACCCAAGACATTGCATGCTTTGTATTCATATATGAGTCAATTATGTATGTACATACATATATGTATGCATATACAGATTTAGTGCCTTGTTTTTAACTACATACGTATGTATATGAAAAAATCAATATTATAAAAAAAATATTTATGATTTTATTTTGTTCTTTATTGAAATAAGTTGTCAAAATTTTTGCTTACTTTATGTATGTGAAAACACTCAATTTGAAGATGTACCATTGAATCGCACACCTTCAATATTGTATAATAATCGTATAAGCCATATGGACCGGCTAACAATTTTAATGTTAATGGTCATCCGAAAAAAAGTCAAAAAGAAAAAAAAAACATCACAAAATTTAGCAATAAAAATTTTGCAATTTGCGTTTTTTCACTTACTCTTGTGGGTGTCAAGGAAGCTTTTCGGTTTTTTTTAATGATATTGTATTATTCTTCTAAAAAAGAATGTCCGCTATAAAAATCAGATTAGTTGAAAATGAAAAATGAGAAAGTAGACAAACCGGCAACAAACAAATTAAATTATTTTATTAGCTTTAGTTAAACAGCTCTATTAAAATTTTATAAAATATATTTTTTTTTTAATAAGAACGAAGTAATTTATGGCGTTTGATACCCCAAGCTTTAGGATATACATATGTATGGACGGTTTCGTTAGCACATGGACGGAAAGGTTAACCTGTAGTAAATTTTTACGATTCTAATTCGAATATTTTTGGTAAAAAATCAAATCCGGCAAACCCATATTAAAATTAATCTGATCCGGAAGAGTTTTTCGTAAGAATTTTCTACCTTATATTTATTTATAATTTGTATTTTATGTTTAGAAATTCTTGTCAACTTTCAACATTAACTTACCAATTTATTATACAAAATAACATTGTAATAATACTGCATAAACCTACAAGGCGTAAATTGTGTATACAGTCAAAAACCAATAATTTTAAAATCTGTTATATATATTATAATAAGTGTAATATCTACATAAGTATATCCCACTGCAGATTCCTTAAAATGTTATTTTTAACCTATACCTACCAAAAACAAACTTTTTAAAAGTGATTATATAATTAAAAATATTTTTGCACACATCCATTTTTGTACAAAAAATACCGGCAGATACCGCATGGTAATACAAACGTTTTTGCAATGCAAAAAGAAATTTTCAGCAGTTTCTTAAGAGCATAAGGATAGAGCGGGTGCTTCAGCTTATATTTTAAAACTTTTTTTATTTATGGAACACGTGTTCGCCTTTTTGGCATTATAAACTTGGAAATAAATTTACAATATTTCAAATTACTAATGGTATTCGAATTATTATACACTTATTGTATATTTGTAGTTGTATGTATAAAAAATAATGTGAGCAAATATGTGTGTATATTGGTTTACAATTTTTTTCGGTATAACAAATAAGTAACGAGAAAATAAAAAACAGCAAGAATAACTCTTGCAATGTTTATTATTTATTAGATAGTCCCCAATTGGTATAAAATTTTTTTAATTTCAAAATAATTTGAAAGAATTTTTATTACTTTAATAAAACTTGATATGTTGATGCGGGTATTACATACTTTTTTTTAAATACAGTAAAATGTCTATAAATTTGATGTTTAAAGAATAAAATTATAAATTAGATCACTCGGCGTTTTCTGCCTTTCAATTAGCGAACTTTATGGAGATATTTAAATTTTTTTAAAAAATTTAGGTTTTTTCTTCAAAATTTCATATTTAAGCAGTTATTGCTGTTAAGTGGTAAGTTTGACATTATTGTTATATTTCATACAGCTAACTTTATTTGTTTTTGAAATATTTAAAACAATCTTGTTTTTTGAATTGTTTCAACTAAAATAAGAGTTGTACCTGGCAGCCAAGAAACAATTCTTAAGAGTTTCATGGTGTTTGCTTTTTCCTTTTTAAATCTCTAATCTCTATTCCAAAATTTCTAATCCAAAAGGAATTTTACGCTGAGCAGAAATATACATACATACCTATTCATACTGCAGCTAGCTCCTTCGATGTGGAATTGTCTTCGATATAGTTACAAATTTATGTGCTATGTCCACTACTCCATACTTATATGATTCCACTAAAGTGTAGGGTATAAAAAACGTTGGTCGTTAAAAACTAAAGAACGATATCAGAACACTTTACAGTTTCGTCAAAAGTGTAATATACAAAATACATAATTATGTTTATTGGAATTTTTATCGATAAAATTGTTGTAAAGTTAAAATCTCCACAATAACTTCTGCTTAATTCAGTTGAAAAAAAATCAATCCCCATTCTGTTTAAATAAAATTTTGGTCACATGTTATCTGATGGAATCTTGAAATTTAATATTAAATATGTTTTCTTTTTTGGTTTATTTTAGTTGATGTGCCAACTGAATCATTGATTTTTTAACTCGAAAAAAGAGAATTTTATTTTAAAGTATTGCTACCTGGGAATTAATAAAATATTCATTAAAATATTTTTTTCCTATTACTTTTCTTTATTTCATAAAGAAAAATAAAGTATTTTAAAAATATTTTTGGATCATCATAAGTGATGAAAAATTAGAGGAATTTGGATTTATATAAGAAGCATAAAATTTTTATTATAGAACTAACTCAAAAACTAATGTACGATAAGTACCTATTATAAATTTCCTAATATATTTTTAGGACAAGAGCGTTTACACATACGTTATTAAACTTTGGGTTTTTTTATTCAAATTTCGAGAATGGAAAGTACTTTGTTTAAAATATTGAGCCTATAAGTTTTTATACAATTGAACAAAAAAAAGTTTAATTGTTAATTTCTTAATTCTTTCTTAAACCGTAATAAAAATAGAGTTGCCAATAATATACATACCACATCGTATGATCATAATATAAATGGGTAATATGTTGACAGAATCAACCACACTACTTGTGTACATATATATAAATAATTAAAGTTGCTGTATGGTTAAACTTGAAATACATTCCATTCAAATTTTAAAAAAGGCAAATCATGAAAAAGTTATAAGCTTCCGCTAAAATATCGTTTTAATTTTATGTGACTTTAAAAGTTGTAAATATTGTAAATTATCTATAAAAAGTTAATGAAAGTCATTTTTATATGTATAAATAAATTTTAATTTTATTATAGATTTTTACAATTTACCATATAGGACATTGAACTACAAATTCAAATATGTACATATACATATATGTAACGTTTTACTCAAAGTGTTTTAAAACTTAATTATCTCAAGATTACTTAAAGAAACAATTATCAATATTTGATTTTAATGTTAAAAGAAGATAAAATAATTTTTTCCATATTATTATATACCAGTTTTAATCTTACAATTTATATATTTTCAATTTTTCAGCCATCACCTAGATTCTTAAAAATGTTCTGCATTGCCATAATTTTATTTAATTTAATTAATTTAACAGAAAATTGGCGAACTGATCGTAGTAAGTATGCACATATATATATATATAAATAAATTAAATAAACTAAATTATAAATCTAGATATTTTCAATATTAACTTAATAAGAAATGTCTACTCAATATTTTACGGTTTTCAACCATGTGTATCAAAAAACTTGTCCACAATGATTTATCCAAATCCAATAATAATAAATCAAAATTTGGACGAAATTCATTTGACAATAAAAAATAATAAATTACAAGATTATAGGAGTGCTTCCGAAATTTTTTTTATTTAATTTTATTTTTTGTTTTCATATATGAAAGCTTAGCACAAGTTTATTTTAATGTTATGTGAATTGTTTGTTATATTGGCATTTTTATTTCCAAATAATATATCGTATTTTATTACTTGCAGGACCCCGAGTATTTGGAGATAAAGTACCAGATCAAATGTTGTCACCAGATTTAAAAAATGTCCAACGAAAATTGGTTATATTGCATGACTATTTTCGAACAAAAGTTATACCACCCGCATCGAATATGTTAAATATGGTAAATATTTATTAATATTTTTTTTTATATTTTAAATAATAATTTTTTTTATTTATATATTATGTTTACTTATATATATATAAGTATTCTTTTATTTATATATTATATTTACTTATAATAGTAAGTTGTGTATTTAAAAATCATTAATTCCACCCATTTCATTTATTTATAATATTGGACGTACTGGCAGAAGAGATAGCCATGTTTAGAATTTTTAACCTTGATTTTTTAGTGTTTTTTTCTACCGCTGTTTGCTTTTTGATGGATTTTCAATTGATCGATTATCGTTTAAAAAATAATCAAGATTATTTCAAATCCATATGATTTTTTATATTAATAAAATTTATTTATTTAATATTAACGGCGTGTGGGATATAAAAAACTTATAAGAATATTAAATTCAGCTGGCAGAAACATGCATCCTCACCGATTGTAGGAATTTATTAAGGCAATTGGTTCGATCATATAGTTGATAATCAAAGACGTTGCTTGATTTAATTTGACAAATTGGCAAATCAATTCCTTAACGGAAACAAAAATTTGTGAACATGTGGCATTCTTACATGCGACGTTAACTGAAATTTTGACGGCTTTTACCTATTCGGAAACAAAAACAAAAATAAATATGTATGTATTACGGCTTCCGAAGAACTTTAAATTCCAGATATAAACTACAACATAAAGAGTTTTTTCAAGAAGTGTGACTTCTAAAACCTTAAAGCGATCATTTTAAAATCTGAAAGTTATTAATAAGTTATTAAAATACTACCGACGTTATTCATAAAGCCCTTTTAGCAAAATTATATATTAAAAATTTTATATGAAAATTTGCATATAATGCATATCGTATAAAATACACAGGCATATTATCGAATAAAGAGTTTTTTAGAAATTAAAATTTAAAATTTTAGTGTGTCGTCAATAGTACAGACTATAAATGAAATCCTTTCACCGATGCAAGCCCACCACTAATGTGTCTTGGGGAATTCGGTTTTTTACCTTAGAGGAGACGCAGATGTGTCAAAAAAAATCAGTATTAATTTTTTATTTTATATGTGTTCAATATAAAATTTCAAATTTTTTGTATATACTTATATAGTTCAAGAGTAACCTGAAAAGTCATTAAATGACAGCATGAACTCTATCGATTTGAAATAATAAGATTTAATATTTTACCTAAAAAATAAAATCGCCCTTGGATATTATTTGGGATTTATGTTTTTGTCATAATACGGTAGGCAATATTTCATTAGTAAAGAACCATTTTAACTATAATTTTTAAATTTAAAGTAGTTTTAATTATTTTTAAAAGAAAATCTTTGAAAATTTCATTTCATTGAAAATTAGTAAAAATTTAATTAATTTTTTTTCCAAATCAAAACTTTTACAAAGCAATAGTGGGTGTAAAATTTTATTTCGTATCGTTTTTTGTTTTAATTATTTCACTTTTATTCTTTGATATTTTTGATTGTTCAAGTTATTAATAAGTGACAAAATTTTATGGTAAATTCGAACACCTTGCTATTCAAAACATCATGTCAAAATACTTTATTAGTGCTAAAAAAAATTTTTCCGAAAATAGTAATTATTGCCATAAAATTAGGCATTACATTTTGATTTGGAATGATCGTAAAACTGAATTTGTATTTTCTACTTGTTCTAGGTATTCTTGTAATCTTAATGATTAAATTAAAAAGACATAAATCCGTCTAATTAAATATTTACTAGGTAGATTAAGTAATTAAATGTATATTGAGTTTATATTTTTGGAATGAGAAAAGTTTATATAATAAAAAAATAATCGAATATTCTTTTCTGTTTTATGTAAATTTAATTATTATAATCAGAAATGGCATAATGGAGCAGCCAAAACGGCACAAAAATGGGCGACAGCATGTAAATTTTTGATTCATGATAGTATAAAAGGACGGCATCAAAAAAATTTTGGAACATGTGGACAGAATATATTTGTATCTACACATAAAGTACCATGGTATGAAAATAAAAAATGAATGATTTATTTCTTAATATGTATGCAATAATTTTTCTATGAATTAAGGATGTTTGTTATGAAATCATGGTTTATCGAAAGAAAAAATTTTACATTTGGTAGCCCAAATAACAGTTTGGGCGAAATCGGACACTACACGCAAATGGTATGGGCAACAAGTCATAAAGGTAATATTTGTCTTTTTTATCTGTTAGATTCATTTTTTGAAATAAATTTAGATATTAAATAAAATAATTTTAAAATAAATAAATTCGAAATTATTAATTCTTAAATAGTTGGATGTGGATTAGCAAAATGTAAGAATGGACCGAATGGTAGAACATTTTATAATTATGTCTGCAATTATTGCCCAACGTAAGTTAATTTGGATTTATGCTTCGATTTGTATTTTAATATTGTTTTTTCATTTTAGTGGAAATTATTTAGATAAATTCTGGTTTCCATATAAAATTGGTAGACCATGTGCATCATGCCGTAATCACTGCCATAAAAATGGAAAATTATGTACAAATAGCTGTCAAACTGTTGATTTATGGTCAAATTGTGGTGAATTATTTAAAACATTCCGTAGTTGGTTATGCCATACGGCAACAGCAGAAGGTTTAGACAGACGAAAGAAATGTGCTGCAACATGTGGCTGCAAAGGCAAAATATATGATGGAATGTAGAGACTATTATATTTTCGGAAATTATTTATTTAATTAAACATTTTTAATGTATACATGTATTCCGCAAGCATATATATATACATATACATATGTATAATTTTACATATGAAAAACTGAAGATAGTGGTCTCTCTGTCTATTTATAAAAAATTGTGGAAAATTACTTTTCTTTTTCATATACCGAAGAAATGAAATTTTCTTTGTGATTAGTATTTAAATATTTGAAAAGCATTAAAGTTTTAGATTTCTTAACAAATTATTTGTATACCTAGTCTAAAAGCAAAATTAGAAATAAAAAAATTTTATGTTAGAATTTAACTAAAGGTTATTTAATGTGTAAATTTTATTTTATATGGTTTCGCTTGATTTACACTTAATATATATGTACATAATATTTACACATTTATATGTACCTATGTATGTTTTTGATAATTATTTTTGGTTCATTTTTATAAAGTATTAAACGTTGTGTTTCTTTTGCAATTTTTTTAAATTTAGAACTTTTGCTAATTAAAAACAATATCAAATATAAGAGTAAAAACCTAATTAATTGTTATATAATCAAAAGCAAATATAAATTTTAACTAAATTTTATTGTAAAACGATAAATTGACATTTTTTTAGGTTTGGATTTTTCTCTTTCCCTTATAGAAAATCTAGAATTTCAGTTAATATTATAATAACGTGATGATCTTATAATTTAAAAAAAAATTCTTCGAAATATTGAACCACGGCTGGTAAATACTCTACAATAATTGTACTTTTTTGCGTGCACTATATATACTTCGAAAGTGCAATAGGGAGTTGAAGTACAAGAAATATTTGAGATTTAAGTAGCTCAATATTTTTTTCTTTGAAATGCGAAATATTATTAACTTATTATATATAGCAAGTCTAAAATACTGTAATTTTATTTTTGATAATAAATAAATTTAATCATAGGTAGGCATTTAAACAATATTATGAACTTATAATAAATTTATTTTTTTAAGGTTTTGAGTTGTATTAACCTTGGGTAATAAAGGAATTTTTTCTTTTTAATTTTTAGGAAGAAAATATACAATCCCTTTAGAAAAATACAAAAAGTATAATTCAGGATTTTATTTTTAGTATAATTAATTTTAACTTAATTTTAATTCGATTTAACGCTAATTGAAAAATGTATGGAAAATTAATTTTTCGCATGTTTTTAAATACATTTAACACAGTTTACTGAAAAAAACTATGAGAGATAGAGGAAAATGTTATATGGGTTAACTTTTACATCTCATCGTAGCGCATCGAAAAAACCAAAAAAAAAATAGTAACAAAAATTTTCGAGAAATTTCGAGTTTTGTAAAAAAAATAAAAACTCTGAATTTGAAGAGTTGTATCACGAAAACTATGGCTCAAATCAAATTAACTGCAAGACCAAAAATAAAGAACAATTCTATGTGTATAGTTCCGAATTTTTAAGCACTTATTTACATACAGGAAAAGTAAGGTACCTTTTTTTGCAACAGTATGTAGTTTAAAAACGAGTTGTACTCCCTTCCTCCACTCATACAATCTTTGGAAAATTGATCAAAGAATCATTCCTGAAATTATTTGCCACCTTTTGCGAAACATCCCGTATGCACAAATACCAAAATAAAACAAAAAAAGTGAAACAAACAGAAGTAAAAAATTGTTCAGGAATGAGAAAGGAAAGAGAGCGGTAGTAACAAAATAGACTAGAAATATACTTTAGTTTCGCCAATGTGTGATATTCTGCAATTGATTTTTTAAGTAGAAATTTATGTTGTTGGTACATCTTAGTTTTTAAGATTAAGCTTAATGAAGAAAAAAGCAAAATTATTCAAACAATGTAAATACAAACAAATTTAAATTTAAATATTTGCAAAAAAATTTGTCTACCAAAACATAGTTTGAATATTGATAGATTATTTTGTATTTTGCTGCAATGATTATCAAAAACTAAGAATTGTGACTATTCAATTAATTCCCTCCATTAAAATACTAAAATGGAGAATAATTTTTCTTATTAAAAATTAATTTATTCTGCATTTACAAAGAATTAGAAAAATTGAAAGATGATGGAATATTTTACTAGAGTATATATACATACTTATATATTCAGGGTGATTTACCAATAAGCTAGGAGTTGTATGCCAATAGGTGGAAGGTCGAAAATGAGTAAGAATTTTGTTCGGAACATAGTGTTAAATCGCCACCGTTTCTGAGCTACAGGGATTTTAAGAAAATTTTGCGAAATTACTTGTTGGTGAATCACCCTGTATAATATACCTTCAATTCTTATACGTATAGCAATTATGTGAAAAATATTTCCACTCTTATTGGGTTCCAATGATATAAATTCATTAATAATTACGAGAATATTAAAAATTAAAATTTTTTATTACAAGATATTTTCGGTTTTCATATTATACAAGTTACCATGCAATGTTTTTTGCATGGTTTGAATCTATTCGTTAAAAGTTTCACTACAAGATAGTTAATTGGAATGGTTTTCAGAAATAATGAATTTATACATGCAAATACATATTTAATGATTCTATAATTATACATACAATAATAATGTATAATATAATTTCGATGTTGGGTAAAATCTTAATAAACTTTAAACATTTGTTTACAAAATTTTGTTTTTTTTCTTTATAATTGTGTAAAAGTAAATAAATAACATTGGCTTTTGATAATCCGTTAGAAGTCTTTAATACCAAATACAACAAAATTTTCCGAAATCAGAAATTCCATAACAGTTACATACACATACTTACGTACATGTGTAAGTCGTTTTACACTTGGGCACAGTCTCGTTTCTGCATATAAATATTGGAAAAGTGCAATGACATATAACTTAATTTACAGTTAGATAAATGTTTTAAATTTGAATTTAAAACATTTCTTATTTGTGATAAAAATTTTTTCGTATTTTTCTAATTTTGTAAGAAATTCATTTTTACCACTTTTTCACGAAATTGGAAAAAATGTACTTAAAATTGTTTTCACTTGTCCACGCACGCGTATATCTACAAAACCTATAAAATAATATAAATAGTATAAAATAACTTGAAAAGAAAAATGAATGATTCAAGTAGAAATATTTTTATAACTGTTCATTAGAAAAATGTAAATGTTCTGTTTCCATGCAGCTCTTTGACCATCCATTTCAATTGTAGATTTTCTAAACAATTTGGCTTTGTTTATGAAATGTGTTATGTTTCAATATAACCTGTATTATAAGGGAGCTATAATAAAAATTTATACAATTTCGATTAAATTTAGTGAGAATGATAAAGAAATTAGTTTATGCATATAGTTTCAGTACTTCAATAAATTAAGAGGTAAATTCAAATGGCTGTTAAAGCTTTTCACTCCGGTAATACTCAAAAGAAATATTAAATTATTTTTATTCACTATTTAATGTTTTTTAATTTTTATACAATACAGTTCTTATGGCGTAAGATTTAGAACATTAAATTTGAGATATTTTAAGTGATGTAAGTATTGACCTCAAATTCTGTCATCAAACGAACTCTTAATTTTATGTATAAGAACATATCTATAAACTGTAACTTAACACGTATGTATACACTGCTTTGACTTGAAATACTGCCAACAAGTCCAAACCATTCCGGATTTGCTGGGAGTATTTCCTGAATTCAATGCTGTTTTGTAAAATTCTATTTTATATGAAAGTTTTTGTGATTTTTACGATATTGAATTTCCATATCTCTATTAATTTGACCTTTCTATTAGAGATTTGAGGTTTCTATTAGAGATTTGAGGTTTCTATTAGAGATTTGAAGAATAAATGTGAGTAATTAGTTTGTATAGGTATGTATTTGTAATAAGCGATTAAATACACCTGCTAATATTTTTTGAGTGATATGCAACCTTATACATACAGAGCAAGAAACATATATGATATAATATGTATCAGTTAACAAGAATAAAACAGTTATTCTTGTCTAACACACATTACATTTTGTTTTAAATTTTAACAAATTGAAGATTATTTGGGCTACATGGCAATGCAACGTTATTTATACTACGTATCACTGTATGCATATAATTTTATAGACTATCTTTGGAATATTTTGATTGTATTTTTATGTAATTTTTATTTTGTTTTGCGCTCTTCACCGTTCGATGATTTTTTAACAAAATGTGGGGAAGACGATTGCCAAACTATTTAAATTAAATTTTTTGTGATAAAAAAAATATCTGCAGGTAAATTGTGTAGTATAACGAAATTTAATAACAGACAAGTGAATATTTTTAAATTTTTCATGTTTACCTTTTTGAGTTATTCTAGAGAAAAAATATTAGGGAATAAAAAGTAAAGACGATCAATTTCAATATTAAGAAACGATTAAAAGCGTATTAAGGTCTTTAACACTATCTAAACTTTGGATTTTCAAACTCCCATATAATAGATCGGTAAATCTTCTCACGCGGTATTGTGATTTTTAAAATGTATTGAAAGAGTTGTTGCTGATAATATGATGAATTAAAATAAAAGTACGTAGTTTAAATAAATTATATATTAAATAAATTAGATAATTTATTTTTCCTATTAAATTTAAATTAAATAATTAAAAATTAAACAAAAAATATTTGTAAAAAGAATAAATAAATGTTATTGGGGGCCTTTTTATACCCTGCGAAGTCGTGAAGGGTATATTAACTTTCGTATGGAGTTTGTAACTACTTGAAGGAGTCATCTGCGGTTTGGATATATATATATATTCTTGCTCAGCGTAAAATTCTGCTTTGATTTAGACATGTCCGTCCGTCCGTCCGATCGCACGATAACTCAAAAACGAAAAATGTAATCGACACCAAACTTTCACAAGTTGTTTCTTTTGTGCCAAGGACGAACCCTATTGTTATTGGACCAATTAGGACAACGGGTTCGGCTAGTTGCCATACAACTCAAAGAGTTTATTTTAATTATTTCAAAAACTAATAAAGATACGAATATAAAATTTTGTATACATGCGTCCAATTATATTCTACATATGTTCTAAAAATTTTAATGAGATAGCTGCATCGGTTCGGGTGGCTGCCATACAACTCCAAAAGCAAATTTTTTATATTCGCCAAAATAATAAAGTCAGATTCATGAAACCTGGCAGTCGTGTGGCCAATTATAGGTCAAAGATATTTCTGACGTATTGGTGGAATTGCTTGACAGGTTCGAGTAGCTCCCATACAAGTCCAAAAGCTTATTTTAAATATTTGGAAAAATAATAAAGTTAGATTCATTAAACTTGGCAGTTGTGTGTCCAATTATAGTTCAGATATATTTGCAAAGTTTTAGTGGAATTGCTTGACGGGTTCGAATATCTGGCATACAACTCCAAAAGCTAATTTTAAATATTTGGAAAAATAATAAAGTCAGATTCATGAAACTTGGCAGTTGTGTGTCCAGTTATAGGTTAGACATATCCGTGAAGTTTCTATAGAATGGTTTCACAGGTTTGAGTAATTGCTATACAACAACGAAAGGTGCAGGGTATAATTCAATCGGTTCATACCGACTGAAACGTTGTTACTTGTTTTAAACACAATTTTGCAATGCAGAATTTAAAAGGTGAGTAAAATGCAAAAGCACCAAATACAACACAACACGTCTTAACTGTTTTCTAATATTCTTTTCTGTTGCCCAATAGCATATACAAAAACTTATAGAAATCAGTCTCTCTTATAGCACAGAATAACCCTTTATATAATCCAAATTTAAATATGCAGATAATATTATACTTCAAGTATTCGTCTTACCCCACTTAATAAAGGTTGATAAAATTTTCAATGTCACTTAACGTATATTAACGTACATCATTTGAAATTTTCCACCTTTAACTACAACTCCAACCACGTTAACCTAATGTTAAAATATGTGGTGATGATTCATGAATTCATGGTACCTGAAGTTTACTTCAATTAAATATAATACTCAAATTTCAAAAACTATAATATTGTAACTACATATGAACCGTAGCATATCTTTAACGACGAATACACATTTTAATTCCAAAATACCCATACAATTGTATTTTCGTTTTTCATGATCCCCTAAAAGTAAAACTGCTTTAAAACTGAGCCAGAATTGCTTTGCTTCTCATATTTTTATTAATTATTATGTATTTTTTTGCTTTTTGCTTTTCATTTCAACATTACATACTATTATTGTAAGGGTATTGCGAAGAAGTGGTGGTCAGTACAGCATTACTATACATACGATTAATAAAAAACATCAAAACATTACAGAAAAAATAAATGCATGAAGTATACACACCAACGTATATTTCTTTCATGGGGTTTCATAGATAGTAGAAGTTCAGGTGATGCGCATCGTTGATGTTGACTTAAAATAAATGCTTTTAGTTCTGTTTTCGATTTCATTGAATGCGCGTGTTTTATTCATTCACACGAATTATGAAAAAATATTTTTTTAAGAATTAAACAAAAAGTCAGAGATTGTTAGATGTGTTTAATTGTATGATTTGAATTAAAAAATGGGCGTTATAGCTGGTGTAGCCTGTCAGGATTTTTCAAATCGTACACGATATTATGGTAATATTAGAAAAGTTGGTAATAGTCCAAGAAGACAACAACAATGTAAACCAATACTAGAGAGAAATGAGGAAGATTCAAATCGCAATTTTCATCTGGATTCTATCAATACAGCCAACTCTGATGTTTTATATAAAATAAAAAATAATCATAATGAAGAAAATGTAACACCTGATCCTACAGCAAATGAACTAAACGGTTGGATACGTGTTCATTGTGGCCCAGATCGGAATGAATTAACATCAATGGAACCTAGTCGTATTATATATTGTGATTTAAAAACGACAACCGCAAAAGAGATAGCAAGAGAATTAAATATACCAGTTGAGTTTTGTTTATGGATGCAAATTGGTGGTTCAGTTTCACAACGTCTTCTAGAAACTGATAAACCATATGAAATTCAAGAGGAATTTTTTAAAAAAATTGGATATACAGACTCTAACCGGCGTTATCGTTTAAGTATTGATCCTGATATAAAACATTTATTAAGATTTTTTATTGGACCAAGTGAAATTAATGTATGCCGTGGTGTTTTAAAATCTGGTATTGTTGATATACTTAAAGGATTTGTATTTCCACAATGGAAAAAACGTTGTATAGCAATCATTGGAAATTTATTATTTTTGTGGCCAAATCAACCAAATCATATGAATGCAGAAATATTTGATTTGGCAGGTGCTGATGTCTTTGAGCAATCACCATATTATGAACGTTTAATATTAAAAATAATACCAAAAATTAAATGTTTTGATAATACAAATTTTTATATGAAGGATAATCATAAATTAAGCTTAAAAACCTTAAACGTTTTACAAAATAGTATTAGTAGTAGTAGTAGTAACGCAACAGAAAATTTAAATAAAAATTACAGTAATAATAAAAATAACGTTAATATTAGTAGTAACAATTATAATAATAAACTCTCTTCAATTTCAAGTGCTCTCAATATAAGTAACAGTAGTATTAACTCAAATTCAGAGCGTGAAAAGGTACTATTTTTAGGATTTGAGGAATCATGGGAACGTGATCTATGGAGCGGATGGTTACTTGAGGTAATTTAGATTTACTGTTTTTTCTCAATTATATGCTACTCAGATTATTTCAAAAAATCGTGCATTTTGAAAATGGGTTTTTAGGACCAATATTGTAAATTGATTCTATTACATAAATAACTTAAGTAAATAAGTATTTGTTTTATATTTTTAAATTTTGTACTTGAAAATTAATACTTAGAAGATCATTGTTACATGCTTCAAACAATAAGTTAAGCTTTAATAAATTTTATGCATCATGTAATTGGATTAAAAATTAAATTGAGTAATTCATGAAAACAAAACCTGAAAAAATTAATTTTAAAACATATGGATGCAAGTACATTTAATATTAAAATTAACTTTTAACCTTGAGTTTTTTTTAGTTTTTTGTGTGCACCGTGAATAAAAATTACACGAAAAAAACAAATAGAGCTTAAACGGTTTGCGGTTTACAATAAAATGAAGAAGTAGTTGAGTCTTCAAATTAATGTTTGAATTATAATTGAATTTATTGCTGTGTTTGAATAACTAAGTTGAATATCTTTTTATCTATATGGTCTTGTAAAACAGAAACTTTTAAAATTAAGCTAAATTCTTAGGGAATTGTGCAAAGAACCGGTAGGGCATGACAAAAAATTATGTGCACATCCATTTTTGAATTGTTAAGGAAAAATAGACTTGTGAACGTAGTGAATTCTTATTTTAATAAATTAATGTCCTATTCATGTCCAGTCTACAATACAAAAATTAAAACAAATTGAAACCTTAAAAAAATTTTCAAATTTTTAAGTAAGTCAAATATGGTGTTTTTGATATAATTTGTTTGATGGAGATTGCTTAACATTTGTTATCTAAGTGAATTTAATACATACAAATTTCAATATCTTATAGCAGATCATTAAATTATCAAGAAACCTTCCAATACACAATATCGACATTCGTTTTTCATTTTGTTGCTTCAGCAAATAATTTCGGCAGAGCTACCAAACTGATTAACTCAAATATACTTAAAAAAGGCTGCAAAGTTTTCAATACTTTGTTTTGAAATTCATAGCTATAATCGCTTTTCAAGGATATTCAGGCAAATAAATTCAATGCTTGCAAAAATGTTACTTCAATTGATACAAAATTTAATTAAATATAATTAAGAAAAATTATTTTAACTCTTACATTTTAGAACTAATTAGTTACAATCAATTTTTTTTTTGGCTGATCTTATACACTATACTAAATTACAGCTAGAAGGCTTGAATTCGGTAAAATTCTGAATGTATGTGAATACTCATCAAAGTTAATGGACGGTTTATTAGCAAAATTATATATTATTATTGATAATTCATAATAGAAATGGAAATTATAAAAATAAATTCAACACAATCTTTTTTATGAATACACTATAAGGGTTTTTAAAATGTAGTCAGTGTTGTGATAATATTTTTACTTTTAATATTATTGAGGCTTACACACACATTTAGAAAATAAATTAAATCTTCAAACGGTTGTTAGCATATTTCTAAATTCATAACTTCCGTGCTTTGGATTTTTAATATATGAACATAGGGATGTGATTCAGTTTGTGCTTTAAAATTATTAAATATCAAAAGTATAAGAAATTTTCTGAAATATTGAATAAAAATTTTACAATCTAGTAAATAGATCTAAGCTTTTTTATGAAATATTATGAATTGTTGCTTTCAAAAAATAATTTATCTTAAAATAACTTAATTTTTTTAAATGCAGTCAATAATGTTGTGGCACAAAGTATAATTTTGATTCCATTTTTAGTACCTCTTCAACAATGTTAAAAAAATGTGCTTCCAAGTCAAATTCATCAAAATATTTATTAGTTGTAATTATAAAAATGTGCTTATTTTTGTCAAATTTTCTGAAACTTTGCCATTTTTCAAATTTTAAATGCCCTAGCATAAAAATAAAATCTGATGTGGTCAGCACATAACCGGCCGCAATGTGTATTGTCTAGATTAGTAAAAGTGTTGCAGAATATTATAAAAATGTTTGTTAAATACTTCTTTCTTTCTAATTTTTAAGATATTAAGTAAGTTAATTAAGTAAGCTTATAGTCAACATATCTAGAAAAATTTAAATTTGGCTCTTAGAAGAGTTTCGCTTTGTGCTACCCGAATTCCCTGAAATGCTCGCCAATTAATTTCGGTAATAACCAGAACTCAAAAATCAAATTTCAAGAAATTCCATCAATTCGTTCCGTAGATATGGTGAAAAATGTAAAATCGGCCCGCAGATCAGTTTTCGATCAGTTTATATGTTCATTGTTTTAATACGAAGAATTTAAATATTAAATTTCAATGAAATCGGTTGATTATTTCTCTTTATATACGCAAAAGTGTATATTTGGTCCGTAGTAAAAGTCCAGTTCCTGATGCCTGATTTCTTCCAAAAGTTAGGAGTTTTCGCGGACGGTCGAGCGAAGCTTGTATATGAAATTTCAAGTAAATCGGTTCAATATTTTCTTCAATTCTTCGAAATTTGGATTTCGAAAGTCGATTTGTTAACTTGACTTAACCTAAATAATTTGTCTTCAAAATAACCGTTTGATTCAACCATTGTTTTTACACTTTCTTTTGACTTTTGTTGTCATCCTGAAAATATGTAATAATTAATTATTCTATATTCAATATAATTTTGGTACATTAATGAGAATATTTTAAGAAGAAGATTAGTTTTTAAAAATAATGATCAATTTTTCATTAAAACATTAGTTTACCATTTGTCGAAATTTAATTACATATATTTTAGGCAGTATTTCTTCGTGACCAGTTAAAATAATGTTCAGTATTATAAACATTCGGTTCAATTTGTTATATTCATCCTATAGTTTGAATAATTAGTGAAATTATACAAAATTGTAAGTTACGAATACACAACTTACAAATACAACTTACAAATATGTCCTCCAATAAATACTTATCTCCTTTAAAACTAAATATTTGCAACCATCCCAGATTACAATGATTTTTTATCTAAAATAATTTTACCCATGTGTGTATATATGTATTTTCTCAACTGTAGGGTCTTATAATCTGTGCAGATTACACAGAAAGAAATTTATCGTTTTTTGATGCAATCATGCCAATTTTTATAAAAAAAAAGTCTTTTATCAAACAAGCTTGGAAGTTATTGACTGAAATTGAATCTTTTATATTAGGAACAAGTAAAAACGTTTCAGTCGGTATAAACCGATTGAATTATACCCTGCACCTTTCGTTGTTGTATGGCAATTACTCAAACCTGTGAAATCATTCTATAGAAACTTCACGGATATGTCTGACCTATAACTGGACACACAACTGCCAAGTTTCATGAATCTGACTTTATTATTTTTCCAAATATTTAAAATAAGCTTTTGGGCTTGTATGGGAGCCACTCGAACCTGTCAAGCAATTCTACTAAAACTTCAGAAATATATCTGACCTATAATTGGACACATGACTGCCAAGTTTCATGAATCTGACTTTATTATTTTGCCGAATATAAAAAATTTGCTTTTAGAGTTGTATGGCAGCCACCCGAACCGGTGCAGCTATTCCATTAAAATTTTTAGAGCATATGTAGAATATAATTGGACACATGTATACAAAATTTTATATTTGTACCTTTATTAGTTTTTGAAATATTTAAAATAAACTCTTTGAGTTGTATGGCAGCTACCCGAACCCGTTGTCCGAATTGGTCCAATAACAATAGGGTTCGTCCTTGGCACAAAAGAAGCAACTTGTGAAAGTTCGGTGTCGATTGCATTATTCGTTTTTGAGTTATCGTGCGATCGGACGGACGGACGGACGGACGGACATGTCTAAATCGACGCAGAATTTTACGCTGAGCAAGAATATATATATATGTCCATACCGCAGATGACTCCTTCAAGTAGTTACAAACTCCATACCAAAGTTAATATACCCTTCACGAAGTGCAGGGTATAAAAATATAAGCTCAACTATTTGAAAGTTTATGGAGTTAAAAATTTATAGGTATTAATGGACTATGCAAAATTTAATTGACGAAATTTTTACTTAGCTGATTATGTTCAACCAAAAAGTATCGATTTCCAATCACTTCAAAACAAGAAGATTTTATTAAGGGGATTCATGGAAAACAAAGATGCTTTGTACCTTACAACAAATAATTTTTGGAATGCAAGTGAGCCCGTTTCAAAGTTATCAATAGAGAAAAATGTTGAAGAATTTCATTTAAAAATAGCTTCGCTTGCTTTGAAAAAAAATTTTTCGTTTATATGCTAAAGTGATTTTTTCTTTCTGTGTAGAACCCTATATTTTTACCATTTTTTACATAAGAATTTGTGCTTTGTATTCATTTTCATATTTATACCCGTACGAAAGTATGTTCGAAGGGAATAACGCTAAGAAATAACGGTGTTAGATATAGACTCAAGTGTATGTTTTTGATCAGCGGCGAATTCTGAGTTGATTTAGCTTTGTCTGTCCGTCCGTACCAGCGATAACTCAAAAACTAATTGAGCTAACTTCACCAAATTTTCACAAATGATTTATTGTAGTAAGTGCCAGAACCCTATTTAAATTGGACATGATCGGAGTACTGGTTCGGGTAGCTGCCATACAACTTCAAAATTTATTTGGCTATATCTCAGAAACTGTAAAAGCTGTGGTATTGAAATTTCACACAAAAAATATATAAGTAGGGCCGATGTGCTTGATAAAAATCGTTGAAATTGCTTGGCTCCTTCTGGTACCTGCCATACAACTTCAAAAGTTATTTGGCTATATCTCAGAAACTATAAAAGCTATGGTATTGAAATTTCACACAAGTGAATATATTAGTAGGGCCGATGTGCTTGATAAAAGTCGTTGAAATTGCTCGGCTCCTTCAGGTACCTGTCATACAACTTCAAAAGTTATTTGGCTATATCTCAGAAACTATAAAAGCTATGGTATTGAGATTTCAGACAAACGAATATAATATTTGGGCCGATGTGCTTGATAAAATTTGTTAAAATTTCTGGTAGCTGCTATACAACTTCAATAGTAGTTTTGGCACAAATAGTATTTTGGAAAACACATAATACTGAAATTTTGCATAAATTAATATGGTAATACGGCAACTTAAAGTCATAGTCTGTTTCATAGTCAGCTATCGCATATTTATTCGCACAGAGTTGACAAAATCAACTCTATTTTTTTCTCGTTTTTAAATAGAAACATTTATTAATTGTTTTTGTTTTTCAACTTATGTCTTCCATCTTTGTTGAAATAGCTATGTATAATTTTATTTCATGCGTTTCGATTTTTATAACGACTTACTTTTCAAGTATAAATCTATATGTTTCTATGAATTTCATCTGCATTATAAACTACTATTTTAGATTAGTCACACAAATCTTTGTATCCAAATGTACGGGTGTATATGTACATTCAAGAATATGTGTTTATAAATATGTGCATACTGTTTTTTTATAATTTATGTCTCCTTTAAGTTTGTAACAGAAAATTATACAATTATGTTTATCAAAGCGTATAATTGCTAAACAGCGAAGCAACTAGTTTATTTATAAGCCCCTGAATTTAAAATACATTAAAATATACGAGTAAATCTTTGCCCTTGAATTATAATTTCATCTCACTCAAAACTAATGTAAATTTTGCAGGTGTAAAAATATTTAAATAGATATTTTGACGCTCAAACAAACCACTTCAATAATCCGACTCTGGAATCAAACAGAAATAAAAAAATTAAAAAAGCAAATAAACAAACAAGAAAAAATGAATTTGTTTGTGTTATAATAGTAAAAATCGTTTAAGAGAAAAACAAAACCGTTAAAATAACATACGTTTTTGTTTACGATGATTTTCTTAATAAATGTCACATTTGCCCATATATTCGCGCGTGCCTTTGAGATTTTTGTGATATGGAAAGCATAACGTACATATGTATGTAGGTAGTCATATTTGCTCTTACATAGGTGTATATATAAAAATGTACATAATATCTTTATATTATGTAAAAAGAAAACAAAATGAGAAATAATAACGATGATAAGTTTGAGTGTTTAAAGATTTTTCAAGTTGTGATTTATGATTACGCATAGATTATGCTCAGTTTGCGACATTCTCTTGATCAACAAACATGGATTTTTAGTAAATTATTTTAAATTTTATTTTAATATTAAGGCTAAATTTTCTAAAAAAAATGTGTTAGGTACTAATTTATAATTTTTATTGCTTTGCTTCATCGGTTATTGCATTCTAGTGAAGTAAAGAAATGCAAATACAAATTTTATATTTTGAAAATTATCACTAATGCAAGGCATACTACGAATTTAACTAAAGTGAATTAATTTTAAAAATTTATAAAGGAACTTCAAAAAAATGTGAAGTTTTTCACAATTTTTTTTAAACTGAAAAATATTTTCATTAAATTTGGTGAAAACGTTTTCTATCAAAATTTTAAAAAGTGAAAATGGTTTCAGTGAATCATACCAATGGTTGGAATTATTCACACCAGTTGAATAGTAATCATAACAGTAATAATAATAGTAATAAAAATAATAATAATCACAGTAAAAATGATTGTAAACGAAATATGAATAATCGTAGTAGAAATTATAACAAAAGTAGTTTAAATAATTCTGGAAAATCATCGATAGTAGGTCATAAAACAAAAGTTACGTTTTCATTTTCGGATACATTTGATGCCGATTCTTTGGAAGAGGATTCAAGTGATGAAAATTATGAATGGAATACAAGCAATTATAAAAATGTTTGTAATAGTCGATCAGATTATAATAAAAATGTAAGAGTACTTTTTTGTAGAGTACTAAAAAATTTTGTAATAATTGCCAATTAAATTGTGATTTAAATTTAAAAACTAATTTTTTTTTTCACTTTGTATTGAATGAATATGTTTGAATGTACATATTTATAGTCAGATCATTATTTCTCAGCCTTTTTTCTTGTTTTTCTCTCTGAAATATAAACTTAAACGCTCACTTTTCCTGTTCGCCTCCCTTTAAAAAGAAAATTTCTAAATTTCATATTAAATTTTAAACCACTTAGCTCTTCTAAGTAAGACATCTGAGGAAATATAAAAGTTTCTAAGGAGTGAGGAAATATTTTGCTGCTACTCATTACTTATAAATCTGGGTTCAGTATTGGATGGAACTACTCTACACTTGTGACATCCGGTCTACTTTTTGCTTTGGTTTTGATTGAAAATATGGTAAACAACACAAAGCTCTTACACAATATAGTAAACAGATTTTAAACACATCTTTCAAACTCTACCAAAATTCTTGTAAATTATTAAATTAAATTTCGCTTTCACCTCTTTGATTCGAGGATCTACCAAATTTTGATTTTTTGTAGGCAATATCTTAAATTTCTTATTTTGAATAAAATGGGAATGACCTTGAGGATTTTTTGCTTTTTACTTAAAAATGATAAATAAGTTATTAAAACAAATTCTTTTAGTTTTTTTGATTTTATTAAAAATTTTATGAACATTTTTTTTCTGCGCTTCTGTTCTGTAAAATATTTGATGTCGTTATAGATTCAAGCTAACAATTTCAATTTAAAAAAAAAAGACTTTAAGTAAAAACGCCTAAATTTATATATATGTATGTACATTGGCCAAAATTTTTTTCGTACAAAAAAGTCAAAAAATATGAATTTCATATTCGTTTTAACGGTTTCTTCGACTTCTTTGTGAAAATCTTTATTTTTGGTGAAAAAAACTATTTTTAAATAAGTTGCTTGGTGTGCGTGCCTTACAAAGGTCCTTACCTAACTTTGGCCTTACTTTGTATTATGTTTTATCTTGACGTTTACTGTGTATAGTTTGACATTTACGTCATTTTGTACGGAAACGTACATATATGTATGGTATTTTAGTGTCACTATGAAAATTCATTTCATGATTTTAATTTGGTCTATTATCAAATTACTTTATAATATAAAAAAATTACTTTATTATATAAGGTAATTTTAATTGTAAACATTTATTAGCTTTGAATAAATATACGCAAATACGTATGCATATGACATTTCAGTTTAATGTTTCTTTTTTGTAGGCTACATCAGAAACAAATGATTCTAAACGACTTGATATTGGAAATTCTGGTTTAAGAACAATCCCAGAAGTTGTATTGCAATCAATTGAGGATGTCGAAGAATTACTTGCAGGACAAAATAAATTACAGGAGATTGGTTTACAAGCTTTAGCACAATTTTCTCAATTACAAATATTACGTTTGCCAGGAAATGGATTCTCATCATTTCCATTATCATTGTTGTCAATAACTAGTTTGACAGTTTTAGATTTAGCTGATAATTCAATTGATAAACTACCTGATGAAATATCACAGTTAATAAAGTAAGTATGTGTACGCTTCTAATATATGTATATATAATTTTATTTAGTTACATATATTTATGTGGATTATTTCGGATTTATGCTATTTATATAGGCAGACATTTTACCTACATAAATAACAAAATACTATGAAGTGATTTTTTTTAATGAAGTTATAATTATTATTGCTGTTGATTTACTATATTATGTTGAATGCAATTCAATTGTTATGATCTAATAGTTTCAAGAATTACGCAATTTTCATGTTACATAAATATTGAAATTGAAAAACAAAAATCAAAACAAAATATAGCAATATGAATTTCTATGGAAATTTGCAGTTGAAATTTATAAATACATAAACATATTGATAAAGAATAAGGTATACATTTGTACATATGTATATACAAATGTACTTTTAAATAACAGTTGGTATATAGAGTCATACATATCTATATACATATATACCCCTTGTCTTGTGTAATATGCCAAAAGTGAATCTTATATTCAATTTTAATGTTACCATATCCAAAGTGTTACGGTACGTTAATTATATATTAATTAAAAGAAAAACAAAAAGAAACAAAAAATGAGAAACTTAACTTTTTATTAGCAATTCTTAGATTTTAAAACAATACCATAGTTCATTTTATTACGCACAGGTAGGCATATTAGTGAATCAGTAATATTTTCAAAGAAGAAGTTATTCACTTCGAATATTAAAAACAAAATTTTATGTTCTTATATACGTACATATATATAAGGTATAAGCATATACGAAACCCATGCATAAGCCATGAATGCATGACAAGATAAAAAATGCTAAAGTTTCACAATTTAGACTATATATTAAAATTCAAATATGCACGATATTCTGATATTCGATTTCCAAGATAATTTTTTTTTCACGCCGTATAAGCTATTCATATACATAGTATACGTTCTAAAGCTTTGTATTCGCTTAACACAAATCTAAATTTACCAATAATTTTTTCAATTTTGTGAATGTTTTAGTTCAATACACTAAAAGTGTTTATTTGTTTTCTATTACACTATACCCGCACAAAGCAACGCAATATTTTTACGTTTTTTAATGAGAATAACTTGAGTAACAAGTCACCCCAATTATAACAAAATAAAATATAAAATTAGCTTATCTTATTCTGTTACACTTACTATTACATTTTGCCAATTGAAGTTTCATAAATAGCACGTAGAAGTAATTTTTCGTTTTTAACATTTAACAAAATTTAAAAGGTGATTAAAAATTAATATTTTGTTTTTTCTAAGTATATGTCAAAAATTCATACTGTGATAAATTTCTACATATAATAAGGCGTTATGTAATGGCACCAAATTTCGCATACCGAGTTTCAAATTAAACGCACATTTCTATGATAGGGAAACGTTAATTAATCAAAGATTGATCACTTTTTTTACGGCATTGACTTATAAATTACAAGATTGAACTTATAAATTTTTTGGGAACATCAAGGTCCGGAAGCCAAACTAGTGTCCGAATTTAGATTTTTTAGTCTATTTCTGAAAAACTAATTTTTGTAATTTCTTGAAATTTATTATTTGAGTTCTGTTTGCTATCGCAAACTAAATACCGAACTTTTTAAGAAATTCGGATGGTGTAAAAGGTTGACCTCTAATAAAAGCCAAACTCACATTTTTGGAAGCATGTTAACTAAAAAACTAGTAGAATCCTTAAAATTAGAAAGGAGCATTTTTATTATCACGTGCAGCACTTTTTCTAAATTAGAGAATACTACTTGCGGTCGGTTTGAGAGAGTTTGTGATTTTCTATAAGCCGGTTTTGGTATTTTTGTGGTGTCTTAAGAAACAGATTATTGTTTGCTTCTCGAACTACCATTTGTTTTGAAATAATGTTAAAATTTTATATTTAAAATTTTTTATTAGCAAAAAAATTAAACAATTATACTTGCAAATGTCTAAAATTAAGATTTTAAAAAAATTTCGTATTAGAAAAAGAGCTTCAGATGTTCGATGTATCAATTTCGAAAAAATTTAAGTGGTTACATTGAAAGTACCTTAGAGTTAGCAAATAGTTTGACATTATACCGTTGTATTGACCAGATGTTTTATTTAATTTTAGCTATACAATTTATTTTTTAAAAAGTGTTTCAAATCAACACTATCCATCTCCATTCCATTAAGTATGTATAGTGTTATTGAATAGTTATGTATATACTATATACTATATACTAAATATGTACATACTTATCAGTATATCTGTTGTAGAATAGTGAAGATTGTTGTTATAATAAGTAGTGATGATGATGTAAAAAAATATACTTATATGAAAATTTTACGCTTCTTTGATCATTATACAAAAATTGCTTGAAGTTTAAGCCATACTCGTAATACCGTCTAAATCTAGATCTTTTTTCATTTGAGTTCTTTTTATATTTTCATTTTTGTTTTCGAATATTAAGTATAATAGCTGTATATATATTTAGGAATGAAAAAACATGTTTATTAGTAAAAAAATGGGAATAAAAAATAATTTTCTAAATTTACTTTTAAATGCGTTATTCGTGTAATACAATATTCATTTAGTGTATATAGGTACAGAGTGTTTATTTGATGACATAAATATTTTTACTTTTAGTATATGCAAGTATTGAAAAATTAATGTTTGAATAAATTGTTTAGATTGCATAAAGTATTCATCTTAAAAACGGTTTGGATTTACTTGTTTGTACGATACTGTTCTGAGTGCAATTTCGTAAAAGATCTTCACTTCTGGGCATATTATTAGATTGAATTGACTACATAAATGAGATTCCTATTTGCGCAGACATGAGAGTTCAGAAACAAGATGTAGTTCGCACAAATCGTTTTTTCTGCCCAGCATTCCATGATAAATATTTAGGAAAGGACTTTTCTAATATTGGTTCAGTTCCTCAATTTTTCAAATTAATATCTCCGGGAATATTTCCTCATAAACTTAGAACCAGATAATACACGGATTAAAATATGTTGTAAAATATGTTGTTTCAATATGTTGTAAAAAGAAAAAACTTTCAATTTAATTGTCCAAAACATTAAGATTCATTAAAAATATATTAATAATATTGATATTGATATTAATTTAAATATTCCTTGTAGGCAATAATGAAAATATCCTTTTATAAAATAATAATAAATTTAATTAACTTAAAAAACATTTTTTTGTAACTGTTCATTTCAAATGGGTTGGTTTCGTTATTTAGTGATTCCCATTAAAATTTTTAAAAATTTTGTAACCCATTCAAATCAATTAACTTTTAAGTAAAAAATAATTTATAACATCCTGTACTTAATAAAGTTTCTTACAAACTCATTAACAATTATGGCAGGTGGTTAAAGCTTTAATGCACTACACATTCTTTCAAAAACTCTTTTTATAAAACAAAAATAGAAGGAGAAAAATAAAAAAAAAGAAGATTTTAAAATTTTTATTAAAAGAAAAAATTAACATTTTTTTAAATTTTATCAACCATTACCATCCTACAAACATACCCATGTACTTACATACATGCAAACTTACATTATTCTATAAAGTATTGCATATTCAATATTTATTTCCATCGTAACTCCATCTATGTTGTAAAGTGTTTACTAGATTGTAAATACATTTTGAAAAAAAAAAAAAAATAAATAGCGATAACGAAACCAAAGAAAAAAAAAGGAAAATTGACTGTCGGATGTGTATGTTTCCACTTAGAAAATCAAAAAAAAAAAGGAAAAAAAAAAACACAAAAAATTTAAAAAGAAAAAATTTATTCGGACTTTATGAGCAATACCATAAACACTTTTATATAGTATAGAAGTATACGAAAAAGTAAATCACCAACCATTTATTGGTTCGGTTGTGATTTTCTAGTTTTGAAATATCGGTTTAACCATACAGATCGCTTTCGTACTGTTCAAATTGTGTTCGAGTATTTCTTAATTTAAAAGAAAAAAATGAACTTAAATTTTGCAGTATTAATCAATAATTTTAATTCTTTGGAAATTACGATTCAAATTTTGAGGAGGGAATAACCATTTTTGAAGAATTTTTTGAATGCAAATGTATTGAAACTTATAGTAATTATTGTGATAATTAAGTGAACACTTTTCTCTTCTTTATAATTGAATTGTAAATGAAATCGGTCATCGACTCCAAAAATATTTGAGGTTATGCGAAAGAAATGACGTTTAGATAGTTGTCAAAAAATTCAATTTAATAATGCAAATATATAATTTAAATTATTTTATTATGATTGAATTAAATTTTAATAGTAAAAAATATAAACTTTTTCAGAAAATTTGATACGATTAAAAGTTGGAAAAATGTAGACTTTAATAAATTAATAAATAAAGTTTTTAAAAATTCCTTAAGTTGTTGTAAAAAACAAGAACAAATGAAATTTACGTGCTAAAATTAATTTTTTTTTAAATTTGACATAATTTGACATATTGGTTTTATAATTAATAAAAAGAACAAATAAAATAATAAAATGAAACCCTCATAGGTTTTCATTTAAAAAATTAACACCTTAGAAAGATTTTTAATTAATTGTAATGATTTAAATTTCAGTCTACAAGAACTTAGAATAGATCGAAATGTAGTTACTGAACTTCCAAATAATCTAAGATATTTGCGTAATTTAAAATCGTTACAAGCATCGCAAAATCAATTAAGAAGGTTACCACAATTTATGATTAGAATGAAAACAATGGGCCTTGTTGATATGTATGCTCCTAAACCACCTTGTAATAAATTGACGGATAGTAATAGCAGTAAACAAAATCTGAACAATCAACAACAACAACAGAATCAGCAACAAAAGTTTCATCAAGACAATAGAACCCAATCAAGTCCACCGTTAACAAAAGTTAGTTTGAGAGCAAATCATTTAAGAGGCAACATTATTTTAGGAAATTATGGTGTAAGTTATTTTTTTTAACTGCATATTGTAAGTAAAAACAAGTTTAAGTTTTTGTGTAAAAATTGTAGAATTTAACACAACTTGATGTTAGTGAAAATGAAATTGAGATTTTAGATTTATGTGCTCTTGGACAATTGGAATCTTTACAATGTTGTCGAAATAAATTAACCGAGTTAATTGTAAATGGAAGTCATTTAACTTCATTGATTGCTGGAAATAATGGTATGAATTTCTCATAATAGAAATGTTGTTTTAAAAAATAAAAATTTTTTTTTGTTCTTTTTTTTAGAATTGAAAAAACTCTCAATTGTCCCAGTTCCATCAAAATTGAGACATCTTGATGTGAGTTTTAACAGTTTAGTTGAATTACCGCAATGGTTGAATGGATGTAACCAATTAAGAACACTGTTCGCAAACAATAATCAACTAAGAGTGCTTCCTGATCATTTATTTTGTAGTGAATTAAATACTTTGCATACGTTACAATTAAGTTATAATAATCTTCAAACAATACCAGCAATGCCAAGACGAAAGCTTCAACTACAAGAACTGTTTCTTCAGTGTAATGAACTTCTTGAACTATCTGATAACTTTTTTTTTGCGTGCGAAAATTTAGTTCTTTTAAATGTTTCCAGTAATAAATTAAGCTCGTTTCCGATTACCGACAATACGGCTGCTCAGTTAGAACGATTGTATGCAACGAAAAATGATTTAACTGATCGTATATGGGATACGTTGGTTTGTTTCAAAAATTTAAGAATTTTCCATGCCGCGTATAATAAACTTACAACTTTACCCGATGAGTGTGTTCGCAATTGGGCTGAATTAGAAGAACTTGTCTTATCTGGTAATAATCTACAACATTTACCAGATTTCTTATCATATCTAACACATTTAAAAGTTTTGCGAGTACATTCAAATCGTTTACAAACAACTCCAGCTTTATCGAAAACATCGACGCTTCGTGTTCTTGATTTGGCTCATAATCAATTGGACAAAATTAATTTAGTAGCTTTAGTACCAAAGAAATTACAGTTTTTAGATTTATCTTGCAACGTTCAGTTGCAAGTTGACCCTAAACAGTTGCAAGTATGTAGATCTCAAAGGCCAATGAGTTTAATTGATGTATCAGGCAAAAATCGTTCAAGTCTCCCGACATCACCCGATTCGTTAAATGAAAATATGGATTATGAACCACCTTGGAAGGTAGGGTTTTCTGAAGCTGCGGGAAATTCATCAAAATTGTACATATCACAGCTTAGGTTACCAAATTTTTGCAATATTGAAGGACTTTTTGGAATGTTTGATGGGGAAGTAAATAATACGGTACCAAGTTTACTGGTTAAATGTATTCCAAAACTTCTTCTAGAAGAAAGAACAGTCAAGGAAACTGCTGGAGAATATATGAAATACACATTGCTTTCAGCTCATCGGGAACTAAAGCATCATGGACAAAAATATGGCGTATGTGCTACATTATGCCATATATCTAGAGATAAGACAAATAACGATTGCGTAAGTAGCGCTGTTCAAGGACGAAAATTTGTGTTAAGGATAGCTAGTGTAGGAGAAGCGTCTGCGTACTTAATACGAAAAAATGGTTATGTTAAATTAACGCCAGGAAATTCAAAAAGAAAAATTGGGAGCAGTGCTAGTTTTCCGGTTATAGTCCCGGATCCTGAAATATCAGAAGTGACTCTCGGAGATCAAGATGATTACCTAATAATAGCAAATAAAAAACTGTGGGAAATTGTTGAAATTGAAATTGCTATTAAAGAAATTAAATGTGAAGAAAATGTAATATTAGCTGCAAAGCGTATACAAGATATCGCGCAAAGTTTTGGTGCTGAAGAAAATCTTAGTTTAATTCTTGTAAAATTTAATAATTTAGGAACAGATGTAGATTTTTTGATACGAGAATTAAGGCAAACTGTTCGAAAAAAGTCCACAGGAATAATGTCGAATTTTTGCAAATGTGGTTGTTGTTGTGAACCTAACAATAGTTGCTGTCATTCACCTGGAAGCGTCCAGTTTATTAGACAATTTTCTGGTAGAAGTGATCGATCATCGCCTAGTGGTCAAAGCGACCAAGCAGGAAGTGAATTGATTTCAAATATGCCAAAATCAAAGTTCGATACAATTTCAACAAAAACAAATAAAACAAATAACCCAAATCGAAATATTAAAAATGGAATAGCAAGAGCTGTGAGGGCCAGAATTGAAGAAGAACATGAAATGGATGATAATGATTCAGCCTTATCTGAGGAACAATTTAAATGTTGGGAATATATGTTAGAACAAAACACACATATATTATTTGATAAAGAATTGAACACAATATCAAAAGGTTTAACTAAAAATCGAAGTTATGATAAAAGTTCAAGTATAATAAATTTAAATAATGGTAGTCAATCGAATTTGTCTAAAGCAAGTAGTAACAAAGTTCTTTCAGCTAGTTCTCCACAACTTTTATATAATGATCCAAAATTGATAACTGGTTCGGTTCCATATCAGTATAATAGTAATTCATTTTTATCAAAACATTTTGGCAGCGCGAGATCATTTCAACCTCCACCACCAACATTTTTTAAATCATCTAAAGGTTTAACATCTGGACGTTTACCACCAATTGGTGCCGGTGCAAATGCCGCATATTTTGGGTCATTACAAAGACTGATGCCTTATAATTTAGAATACGATTTTGCTGCAATGCATGAAAGGCACTCTGAAGAAGATCTTGATCATGAAAATAGAATGCGTCAATATTGGGGTGTTGCCACAACTGAATTATAAGATTATTTTTATTTCGTTATAAAATAAAATAATTTTCATTTTATTATACGTAACGTTTAAGAAAATTATAATGCTTTTCTGAATTTGATTTAAATATAAGTTCTATCTTTATACTATGAGTTATATTCCTTCTTCTTATTTTAAATAGTAAATTTTCGTACATAAATGGAAAGTGTCTATATATATATTAAACAACCAAACACAATATATGCAATATATGAATAGAATATGGGCTCAAAATGAGTTTGTTAAATTTCATAACGGAACTCTTATTTAGCTGTTTTAAATTAAAGTGATATCAGACCTTAAATTCTACGATTTCCTTAAAACTCCTTGGAAAACACCCACTGGCTTATATTATATTTCGTTGTACTTAAACAATAAGAGAAATTTTACATACAGAGAATACTGGGTGCTAAAAACAAAATATAAAGGTTTAAGTTACTCATCAAATAAAAAATATAAAGATTCTTTAGTTCAGAAAAAAAAATTAAGGTGAAAATTCCAAAATCTTTTAATTGGGCACATACGTGAACTTTTGCAAATAAAATTGAGCAAATAGTAGTTTGAATTATTGAATCTGCTCTTATATTTAAATATAAAATGTATGCTTTTAAATTTGTTTTAAGCTCATATATTTAGTTGTAAAATAATTAAATTATAGTCTGTATTTTCAACTTAATTTAGTAATCTTTTTCAGAACTTGTATGAAAGTTATACATATTGTATGTACGTACATATTAACCCAGAAAAAATTTTCTGCGTTAAGAATACAATGAAAATGAGGCATTCACAAAAAGGGATTACAAATGATATAACTAACAAGTTTACCAGCAATTATAGTTTTACCAGCACCAGTTTTAGATCTTTTCTCATGAAATTATATGCATAAGCATAAAAAAAATGAATATGCGTGTGTCTGTCCGTATGGATCTAATCTAATCAACCATGAAATCTGGGAAAGTTCTTTAAAAAAATTACGAGTTAGTTCCTATAAACAAATTATGCCGGTTAATAATAACAAAAATTCCGAATTCTGCTATAATAAAATTTGATGTCTAAAAATGTGGTTATGTTGCGTGCCAAATGTAATCATATTTTTGGAAAGGTCTCGTCTATTTACAACATTTTTCTTTGTGATTTTTGTGAAAAGCAGGCCAGTAACTCCTGAAAGAAGGATTTAGAAAAACTTTGAATGTGGTTCTATGCACAATACATATATTTTGTAAATAATTTGATATTTAGTGGGTTTTATTTGGTTTAAGAAGTAATTCACCATGTGGCAACTCGCGATTTCGCTATGCTTTGTAGGCTCCCCGGAAATCTTAAAATAAACTAAATTTTAGTATAATCATGTACTAGAACGCATAAATAAGAAGAAACGAAGTTCTTTTTTGCTGAGATTGCCAGTTCTACATAAAAACGACAATATTCTAAAGGCCATCTTTTTGCAAAACCACGTACTTATACTATAATTTGAAAAAGAAAAGGCAAACAAATAGCAATATTTTTTTTTTAAATATTTTTACTTTTTTTTTTAATATTTTTTTCTTTCATTATATGGACACATTTATATTTTATCGAATTCGAATACTTATTTTTCATTTAATTTAATTAAAGTTAATTAATATATATATTAAGTATAATTATACTTTATGTATTTAGTAGGTAATTTTAGTATTAATAATTGTTTTCTTTTTCTTGCCTGTTCTACTTTTCAATTTTCTATTTAATTATATAATTATTTTCCTTATAATTCTCAATATATTATTCTAATTGTTTTACAATATTTACAATGTCAATTAATAATTATATATTTAATAATAATTGTTAATTATTCAAAAGTTTTTTTGGTTTTTCCTTTTTTTTACAATAAAAATTGGAATAATAATACTATACTAATAAATTCACTTCTACATATTGAAAAAATAAAAGTCAAATACTTCAAACATGAAAATATTTACAATATGGATGATTTACAATATGGATTACAAATAAAATTAGATTTTTCAGATTGAAAGCTTCGTTCAATGTATTTGTATTTATCAAAGTATGTTAGTGCACAAGTAGACAGCAAATTTTGCAAATCTTTTGAATTTAAAAATAAATTCAGTATTTAAGTCAATTGTAAAATTAATAAAACTATAATTTGAATTTAGAATAATTTGTATAGTAGCTTCGGAACTGTCATATGTGTATCTAAATTAAAATCTAATTATTTTAAATTACTCATGTTTTGAATAATATAGGTAAGTTTTTGTTTGCTTCTTGTACACTTTTCATTGATAGATTTTGTCTTATTTTTCGTCATTCGTTTAATAAAAGAAACTATAATAGAAAATCAAGAAGAATCTTTGGATGTCTACCAAACCGCATATCTTATGTTAATTTGGCCGACTGAGCAATACAATTTTAATTGAATAATGTAAATTTCCGATTAGTGTATGTGCATTTTTGTAAATTCTCTCTGGTAATAGCAGCAATTTTGTACTTATAAAATTATTTTTTTATAATTAAGACTCCTCTTGAACAAAAAAAAAACCAATTTTACTAATTCAGAAAAAAATATACTGAAGAAGCTTTCAGGTATTGAAAGAAAAACAATGTGTACAAAAAAAAATTCTATTCATTGTCATTTCGATTAATGATCCGCCTAACGTTATGCCTTTTTTTTTTAAAAATAATATTTTAACTTTTTCCAATTACGGATTTTAAAAATGAATTATGTGCCTGTTGTAATAATAATAAATTATTTGTTTGATTAAAAAATGAATTATTTTGAACATTTAATGCTGAAGATTTGTCTATTGTTGTTGAAGATGTTAATGGTGATGTTATTAAATTTAAAGATGCATTTATAGCATCTTTATAGTGTTTTGCATGTCATGCTAACAATTTTGAATATCAGTAATGCACATTTGGTGTTGTATTATTTTGAGTTGGGTTGTTATTATTACTATTGTTATTGTTATTATTATTCGTACTATTGTTATTAGTATTGTTACTATTGTTATGATTGTTATTATTATTGTTTGCTGTTGTTGCTGTTGTACTACCCGAATCACCTAGCCATGACTCTGGACTTGGTGGAAAATCTGGATAACCATGTACTGGGCTAGAATCATTTGAATCAGATACACCACTTCCAAGATGATGATGATGTGCATTATTTGAGCTATGCATCATAGAATTGACTGAGTGACCTTAAAAAACAAAAAGGAGAAAAATAAAAATTTGTAATGAAATTTGGTAAAATTAATATTTGTTTTGTTAAATTTTTATGCTAATTAACTAATCCTAATGAAAATAATATTAAAAATAGTATAATAAAAATGTTTTTATATTCACCTAACGGTGTGTAAACTATATTATCAGGATATGAACCAAATGAATGTCCTTGACCTAAAGGTGGGGGTGAATGACTAGATGGATATGGAGGAGGACTATTACTACCATGCATATATGAACCACGTACGCTATGCGGTGAAGCTCCATCTTCTAAACCCAAATTGACTGTACTATAACTATCATTACTTAAATCTATTTACATGAAAAATTTAATAATTAAATTAGAAATTATTTTTTAATAAGTTTTAAAAAACAAATAATTATCGTAGTAGTAATTTTATATTTACTTAAATATTTAAGACTTCATAAAATCATGCAACGTTTTTCTTACCATTATGACTAAAACTATCGTAATCTATTTTTAATTCATCTTTATCAAGGTATTTGTCGTGATGTGATGGTGAACTGCCACCTTTCATTGAACGGAAATATTGACTCCATCTGGTACGACCAGCGTCCTTTTTCAGTCGTTTCTCCTTAGCTCGTCTAAATCAATAGGGGGAAATTCATTATGAAATTATTGAATTAAGAGATAAATAAATAAATAATAAAAACGTATTAGATTTTAATAGTTTTATAATTTATTAGCGACTAATTTTATAAAAACTTACCTATTTTGAAACCATACTTGTACTACTCTCATATCCAAACCAGTATCCTGTGATAATTGTTCTCTTACATGTCTTGCTGGTTTTGGGCTATTGTTATAAGCAGTCTTAAGTGTTTCGAGTTGTTTTGCTGTGATCGTTGTTCTTGGCCTTTTATTTGGTTGATCACCATCCAAAGAACCATCCAAATACAGTCCTATTTTATGAAAATTCATATCCAAATTAAATAATAATAATTAGTCGTCTATGATCATTTCATTGTTTTAAATACTATACCTTTAGCTTTTGCTTGTTCATAATCTGGCTTGCATACTAATTTTCTATCTTCCATTAAATAAAATTCATCTCCAGTATTTAGTGTCCTTTGACACATAACACATACAAAGCATTGAAGATGATACACATTATCTTGGGCCCTTCTAACGACTTGAGTTGGGGGTATACCTAAATCACATGCTGAACATTTAGTGCCATATCGCCTGCATGACCCGAAAACGTGAAATGAGATTAATCATTATTATCAAAACGTGATCTTAACTATTGATTATATTGTATAAAGTCTTATATTTATTTTCTCAGGCATTGTATTCAACGTTCTTATATTAAATTATGTAGAACAATATTTGAATTGTGTGTATGTGTATTTAAAATATAATCTGCGCATAGTGAATAACATATTCAAAATTTTCCAAATGTATATGAACATTAAAAACCAGAATCCAGAATTATTCCATAAAATACAATATCCTTACAAAACTTCAATGATATTTGTATGTATTTTTTCATGAATATACATAAATAGTATTTTCAATACATAAGTGTTATGTACATATATATTTATATATAATTATCTTTAATTGGACGCCATTAAAGTTTATACTTACTTAAAGAAATCGTCCTTGCAATAGAGTTGACCATTACGTGCAAAGCATTTATCATTTAATTGAGCATGACATTCACTACATTTAAGGCATTTGGCATGCCATGTTCTTTCAAGAACTTTTAATATAAAACGATCCAAAATCATTTCATGGCATCCACCGCATTTTGGTATGGTTGCTGTAATAGAAAATTAGAAAATTCTTATATAAAGGTGTACAAGAAGTTATAGAAATAAAGAATATTATGATTAGATTTTAGTTAGACCGTTCTTATATAAAATAATGATTTTACGTTATTTATTTTCTTATTTTATTTTTCTTGTTTTTATATAAAGTAAGTACGAGTATATATAGTACAAATGATTTAATATCGAAAAGAAAGTAAATGAACGACGAAGTACTGGAAAATTTAAAAGATTAATGATTCCAAAATTACAAAGAAAAAAAAAACTGATAAATATTTTTCTTCATTCGGTTTTCATTTGTGTTTGGGGGGCTTAAAAGATGTTAAAATAATTCTTTTGATATTTCTTTTGAAGTTTCCTTAGTAATGGTTTTGATTAATTTATATTGAAAAAAAAGTCAGTGAGTTTAAAAATAAAAAATTAAATTAAAGTTGACAACATAAAATAAAAACAAAATTGAAAAGTTTTAAAGTTTTTTTTCCAAATTTCTAAACGAACATTTTTACGTTTCTAATAAAGTTATCGAAAATATTCAGTTTAAGTTTATGAATTTTTCAGTAAGTTATAAAACTTTCAAAATTTTTTCTCAAATTTGCAAAAATAAAGTTTATTTCACAGTTGCTTTAAGTAAAGCACCATTAATTCTCCAATTCCAATGAAATAAATTTTAATTTAAATTAGTTTCATTGATCGATTTTAGTTTTAACTTGAATTGATTGGTCAGTAAATCGTACACCCGAAATCAAAAAATTAATTATTGAATCAAGCAAAATTTTAATTATTGAATTGCATGTAATCTATTATTATTTTCCATTTTGAAAAAATTTCAGTATTATTATTATTTTATGTACCTCATGTCTCCATTCCTCAATAGTAATCTTGTGGTATTTTTCAAAAGGTAAAAAGTTTCTTAAGAAATTTTGAGAGAGCTATTTTTTTGGTTAAGGCAAAAGTGTGAGATTATTTTGAATCTGTACACGGTTTTTGTATTTGCTTATAAATTAGAAAGATTGCTTTACCCTTTATAACCTAAAATAAGCCTTTAAATAAAAAGTTAAAGTATGAATATAAACAAGTATGAAAATAAAAGTTCAAGTATGAAGTTCGTACGCGAAGGTAAAAATAAAAATCAAACTAAGGATTCCAATTTTCAAAAATTTTGTGTAATTAAGGAATATGCGGTCCCCGATATTTTGGAATCATGAAGGGCAAATTTTTGTACTACTGATTAATGAAATTTGTTACTTGTATTCACCATACCGAAATCTCGCATATACAATCGTGTTCAATATAATTCAAATCAGATTTTGAAACGATTTTTGATTAGAGCGTTCGAAAATTTAGAACAGTATATAATGTTAAAATTTTCAGAAAAAAAAATTATAATTATTACAACTAATGAACCATAAAAAGTATACTGTCTTCATGATTTTCTTAACTTTGCCTTATTGGGCACTCATGTTTTTTGCAATAAAAAATTTTCAAGTTAGCTTCATCGGGTTTTGATGTTCAATTCACTTCAATTCTTTGTTTTAAAATATACTTATATATAAATCTTTGTATAACAACACAAGATTTAAATCATATATGTATAAAGATATTTTAAAACTTTTAAAACCATTATATTATGCCATAAAACAAAAAACATTTAAAAAATTTTGAAGGAAAATCATAAATTAGATAAAATTAAATTACATATTAAGTAAATATATAAAAAGTACATAAAAAACAAGGCAAGCAAAATAAAATTTTGAAACAGTAAAAAATTGATAATTTGTAGTTAATTTTTATTATTAACGTATATAGGCTTAAATTAGTAACTACTCGGTTTGAGTAATTTATTTAAAGTCTAACTTGCTATTTCAGAATTTAATGCCGTCGGTAAAAGTTAATTAAATTTTTAACATTTGTAATATTTTTTGCATATAAACCACATATTAGGATAATTCTACAAATGCCAAGTATTTATTCCGATTATCATTATTAGCTTTATTACTTTTGCAATAATTTGAATTCAATTTTTTTTTTGTAATCAAATAGCCAGATTCTCAGGATATGAGAAGAACTATGGATTTTCAATAAAACAACGTCCCAATATACTTACAAATTAAAAAAGCTGGTAAATTATCAAGATGAATTGGTGGCACACGATTATCTTCTTCTAATTTCATGTTGTTATTATTATAAAGACTATTATTATTATTATTATTTTCACTATTATTTAAAAAATCATTTTTATACATCATTAGTTTTAAAAGTTCCATTATAAAATAGCAATTATTTTTTATTTGATTTGAATACAATATTCAAAGATTATTGAAAATTATATTGGGTACTTTGGCCGAGCATCCATTTCTTTCTATCTGCATATTTTATTAAAAATAATGTTATGTTTAAAATTTACGTCCATATAGTATGTACATGTGAATGTAAAACAGAGATTGAAATCAAAATCAAATCGTTTTATTTACAAATTATTTCATAAAATTTTCTAAAATCTCATTGAAAAAATAACAGTTACTTGAGTATTTTGTTTTATAACAAATTCTTTTACATTTTCCTTATATAATAAAAATTTTCTCATAAAATTTCATTTTATAACTGGAGCAAACATCCGTACATATGGGAGTTTAAAATGAACTGCAAATTTTAGGTAGGTATATAAAATAATTTGATCGCGATGCTTTTTATATACTCGTACGTTCCTTCGATGATATTTTGTTTAATGAAAATTTATTGTTATTTTTACGGGGAATAAAATAAATTTTTTCAAGTTCATTCACATAATAATATTTTCGCGTATGTTGATTTTTCCGACGTCGTTATTACGAGTATATTGAAGAAAAAAATTCTTTTATTTTCAATCGCAGTTATTTTTTATTTCGTTTAAATTTCTTATTTCTTTTAAGTTTCCGTAGATTCATGCACTCATAATATTAAATTTAAAATCGTTATTATTTTTACGGCTCTTACTTTTATTTATTTCTGCTTTTATTTTTATTTTACAGTTATTATTGCATAAAATCAATTTGACTAGACTTGAGACATTTTACTTTTACCGATCACAATAAAATGAAAGAGTACACAACAAGAAAATTTTAGAAGGAAAAAAAACTAAAAGGATTTTATAACTTTTGCTTCTTATTTTTATAATTTTCCAAATGTTCCCGTCGCTTTTCAATTTAAATGTGTGGTAGATCATAAAATATTCATTTTTTGTTCTTTTTTTTATATAATATACACATATGTACATATACTTACACACGTAAGTACGACGATTACATAAAAATTTTTAAAACATTTTTTTTTTATAAATTTTTTTTATTTTTGTTCTTAAATGCTTGTCCATTATCTCGTGTATAGAATTTAAATAATGAATAATAATGAAAGCACATACATAAGTACTTTATATACTGTTGTTAACGATTTTAAAAGATAAAGTCGAAAACCAACCGGTTATCACAGACTTAAAAAGAATTTTTTATTATAAAAGTTTAATTGTAAACTTATGGCAGACAGTTTGATGACAGTATGCTTTTATATTATGTACACAGAAAATATACATTTAAAAGAAAATTATGGTAAATAAAAAAAAAATAAAAAATAGTAAAAATTTTTTGAATCACAAAAAAGGACAATGGTTCGTTCCTTTAATTTTTATTCTTTATTACTTTTTTTTTGGGTTGAATTAAACAAAAAATATTGAAACTGTTGAATTAAATTGACTTGCATTTATTTGTTATTGTATTTCGTTTGGTGCAATTTATGTGCATTAAGTTATAATATGCAATATACAATTTGTGTAAACGGTAGAAGGTACCATTATATAGTCTTCTTTTACATTATCCATTCAATTTGTGTATGTGCGCAATTATTTATGTATTTGAAGAAGATTGTGTAATGTCTTTTTTTATTATATTATTCTATTATTTTTTTTGTATGTATATTGTATAATCATAAATATTTTATGACGATAGTACCTTCCGTTTATTCTATTTCTTTTCTGTTTTTTGTTAGGAAGGACACAATTGTACAACAATTCTTTTGTTTAAAATCATAAAATTTTCCTTTTCAAATTATAAATTTTATTTTTGCTTTTTTAAATGAAGAATGAATACAATAATGCATTGTTATTGTTTTTATTTTTAAATGAATGCAATTTTTGTTTATATTTTATCTTTCGAAATTGCATAACAATAGGCGTTAAATTTTTTTTTAAATACAAGCACACAATTTTTTTCTTTAACTGTAATTTTTAAGTACCTACACCAATAATTCTTTTGTTTCGTTTATTTTTGTTTTTATATTAAATCCCAAGGGTAATTTACTGGTTTAGACTTTATTTTTGATTTTATTGCAGAATGATTTGTTACAATATTATTTTAGTATTTTTGTATTTGTTTTTTTAAATACTAAATTATTGCAATTCACTGTTCATATGATTTGATTAGACAATGAGAATTTTTCGTATACTTTTCTACGAGTATTTTTTATTTAATTTTTTATTTTTTAATTTTTAATGTGTTATTAATTGATATCTTTTTTTTGTTAGAACTAAAATATTTTTTACTTCATATACATGTACAAAATATGTACACAATTTTGTTGTTGTTATTGTTATAAAAAAATAATGTGTAGAAAATTAAAAGAATAATATGAGAAAAATAAAAATTGAAAAATTGACACAGATATTTCCGATCTTTATTCGACGCCGACTGGATTCTAACTACACAACAAACTACCGTTATATATCGAATATACTGTTTCGTTATATTTCTGTTTGCTTGTTCTTTTTTTTTGTTTTTCATTATGAGCATCTTTTGAGTTGAATTGTAAGGGAAAATGTAAAGTATAGAAAAGGAGAAAATATTCAGGAAAGTACGTAAAGTTGAGAATGGAGAATTGTAAATGTTGAAGGTAGGATGTGCATGTGATCCTGATTAGGATTTTTTTTCTTTTTTGTTTTTTTTTGTGGTTTGCGCTTCCTATGATTTATAAATACACATTTATATATATACATATATTTATGAATATAAGCATTTATGAACATACACATATATATTTCAACGCATACATTAATATCTATGTATATACATACATACATACGTTTTATTTTTGCAAATAATTTTTTGTTTTCACTGAAAATTCATTGTTTAAGATTTAAATACTTTTTGGGATTGGTGTGTGGTTTGAGGTTGTAGTTTTGTTTTTTTTTATATTTATCACAACGCATACATGCAGTCATTTTCCATTTTATATTTATACATTAGTGTTGAGAAATATGAAACGCTCAAAAAAAATCAAGTGTATAAAAAATGAGTGTTTCTTAGTATTTATTATTGTGTTGCATGTCGTACAAAAATATTGAGTGTTTTTTTGATTTTTGTAATTTTGAGTACAATTTTTATTTATACTCATCGTATATCTTAAAAAATGTGCATGTGTTATTTATTTTGATTGGGAGTGGCCTAAGTTTTTCTTTTTTTGCACTTGCTATTTTTTTATGTTTTAAAAATTTAAGATAAGTATGAGTAGTAAAGATAAATGCTTAGTTTATATTTACATACCTATAACATATTAGTTAAAAATTAATAAGTGTACAAATAATTAATAAAATATTGTGTTACATCAAAATTTTTATATTATTTAAATTATATTAAGTTCAGTTTAAAAAATTATTGAAAAAATATTGAAAAATTATCCCCAAAAATTATCTTATATTTATTTACATACATGTTATTATACATATACATACATATACATTTGTTACTGTCCTTGATTTCTCTCAAATTAAATTAACTATAATCTGTGAATATTTGATAATTACCATGTTGTTTAAACTTTTTGAAAGGTGGATTGGGCTTATTCAGACCATACGGGAAACGGTAGCTGACAGAAATCTGTGTTGAAATGTATTTTTAAAATTTTCATGCTATATTGTAAGATCTCCACTGTATGCAAATGTACAGTAGTGGATAAAAGAGGAAAGCCTTTTTCAAATGATTTTTTTCATTAATGATTTTGGCATTGATTGTTTCCATTATGATTTTATCTTTTACATATAAAAATATTACTAAACAATATTAAAGATTCAATATTACAAGTTGTGTAATATTCAAAAATAAAAGAATGCAGAAATATTACGATCGCAGTTCAAATTTGGAAAAAGTTTTGGGACTTTCAAAACTTTCTTTAATAAAAATTTTATGCATATTATTATAGCCTGAAATATATTTTTATACCGCTATAAGTTTTAAATTTTTCCATAAAAAATTTTTAAGCTTCATAAGGGTATGTCATGTAACATAGTATACATACATATTTATATGGACTTGTTCATCTGCCTTAAGTATATACATAATATTCAGATGAAAAAGACCCCCATTTTTTCTAATTTTTACTCTATAACTAAAGTCTTCTTCACTAAATATATTTTTTAAAATTTTACTATCTCTCTATTCCACAATCAAAACTCAAGTCTCACAATATTCATTTCTACTCATTTTTTTTTCTAAACAAATTTACTCTCATTTTAAATTACTGATTCTTACACACGTACACATACATGCATATATTTTTTGAAAACAGGTAGCAAAAATACTTTTTGGGCGTGGTACAAAAATAAAAAGTATAACAACTGTTTCAGTTTAAACAATAATGTCAATATACATATATATTACATACATCTATACGTATGTACAGATGTATAAATATTCGTGTGCTGGATATAAAAAATAACTTGTGAAATGTTTATGTGGTATATTGATTTATCCTTGCTCCTTAAAATTTGCATATTGTATGTATATGAATGTGTTCTTTCATTTTTTTAAATGTAATTTTTTTTGTTTTTATAGTGTTCGAAATATGACAACTTAAACCAAAAAAAAAGAAGTTGAAATCTTTTAAGTACTCCATATTTATGAGTGTAAAGATACGTGCATCATATTTACATAAGAATATATATATTCTTACAATTTATCTGAAATTTTCTTACATTTTTATAAATATGCATACATATGTCTAATTAAATACATATGTACTCGTACGACGTATTTGAACGTAATATTTACGTAACAAATATAAAAGTTGATTGTGTATACTTAATCTACTGTATAATACAATAACATATTATGAATATATGTACGTACGCACGTGAATATATGTATGTTATGTGCTTGCGTATTTAGTTATCACTTTAATTTTTGGAAACTTAAGGGAAAAGTAAATGATCCTATTTTTTGTAAAAAGAAGAATATGTATTTTTATACATTATATACATATGCAAGGTAAATACATACATATATGTGGAATGTTTTTATAAATGATAAGTATACGCACATACGTCTTCTACTTTACCCAAAACATAGAGATTATTTTCTAGTACTTTTCTAAACATTTTTTAATAAAAAGTGCTTATTAGTTTCACTCGGTCAGCCCGTCCGTATGTTCGTCCGTCCGTGAACATGTTTACAAAACTTCTACATCCTTGAAGATAGAAATCTGGTACAATTACATATATGTACATAGATCTTTACTAGAAATTAAATTTAATAAACGACATACCACACCCAAACTTTAAAAAGACAAAATGTTCCATTAAAATAAAAATGTGAAGTTAAAATTTACCGTAATCTAAAATCCGTTACTTCCAAATTTTTGATATCGTAGTAGACGGCAGGTAGTAGCAGTCTGAAATTTTGGCAGCTTTTAGACACTAATAAATAGGCTCTAATTATCGCCACTCAAGTTATCCCTCGAATTGTGTAAAATTCGAAATTTTGGCACGCTAAATGAATATACTAAAAAATACGCTAAAAAATATATTTATTTTTCTTAACTAACGAAAATAATCCTTAAATTCAAGCACTATGTTACGTCTTTTTCTTTGTTTAATTTCAAAGATTGCTTGCAATGCTCATTCTAAATGTATGCAATCTTTGAAATGTATTCCTGTATGAATCAAAGTAATTTTGATACTGTAGCAACTATATAAATTGCTTTTAAACGCAGTATTTTAACTTGTTTAGGGGAAAAGTGCTATATTATAAACCATTGGTTTGACCCAACTTTATTTCTTTTAAAATAAAAAGGACTATAACTTAGTTTATTGAATTTAAAATTTGAAAGAAAATAAAACGTGTAATGTAGGTATTTATATACATACGAGGGTTTAAGCTTGAACATGAATACTTACATGTAGGTACACACAAAGTACATGAATCACATAGAATGTAAGGATAGCATAATATAATTTATATACATAAAAACACCCACATAAGTATGAATTTGTATTAAAAGAATCTCCCTTACAGGTGAGCTTTAAT